GGCCTTGAAAAACAGAACATCGCCAAGAACTGCTGATTTGCGAGGACTACATGGGACACATGGGACAGAACCACAGTTGCCCACGGCAAGGGCCAATGGCGGCACGGCGCTCGCGGCCATCCCACATCAATGCTTGTTGGTTGCAGGAGTGTTCCTGTAACACATCCCACTGGACCTGAGGTACGTAAGCACCGGCGAAAGGAAGGGGCTGATTCAATGCAGACCGAACTAGAGGCCCCTAACTGTGAGGCTGCAATAGGCCCCGTTAGGCCCCATGAGACTTCAGCGTGAGCGGTGCCCCAGCGCTAGTACGCACCGGGCAGCACTACGTAATCCCCTCGCATCGCTATTTTGGGCCCTGGCTGACACCACCGCAGCCGCTGCTACCCACTACTGCAACGCTGCCGACGTATGGGCGTGCGCTTCAGCCTCCCGTGTGCGCTGGCGGCTCGTACTACAGGCGCTACAGGGGGCTACGTAATGACACAGCGGCCACTCTCACACCTTATTCACACCGCATGGCCACTCATCAACCTCCCTCATCATCCAACACCATCACCAATGAGGCTGTCCAGGGTCGCGCACCTATTGCCAAAAGCAATGCACACGTACCAGCATGGCCGATCGCGTTCACTTGATTTGGTTGATTTACGGCCAGGCCCCTTGTCGTCGACCTCCCTGCCTCCTCCTATGCCGCGGCCTGTCTGTCAAATAGTTCCCTCGTGCCGGCGATCGGTAGCTGCTAGTTCCGAAGGCCATCCAAGCTTATTCTAAAAACATCCGGACAATTTGCCCCCTTTCTCCCCTGCCGTGGGCTTTCTACCCGCAAAAAATCTCCAGTATGCCAGGTATGAGATGGAGCTAGTCGCATCAGAACAACGGGGCTCTGGCCATGACCGATTTTTTACCCACCGGGGCATGCGTTTCCCACCATCTAAGCGTCGTCACATCCTTGCTAAGCCTTGCTTGGCTTTGCTTGGCTAGCTTCTCAAACACCCTATCATGACCAGATTGTGCTGTGATGTCTCCTCGCGGTTTTGCTGACCGGCATGTTGCGTTGCTTTGGTTCTTCCTCATAGGTAGCTGGCCATCCAAGCATCTTGCTATGCCTATCCTCCTCGCCTGGAGAACATGAGTTGCTTTCCTCCTCCCTATCTTCCCTTGATTTGACATGGCCACGAGCTTACGAGGCCGCCCACGGCTTGGCGGGGCCAAATTCCATGTGACACTGTTTTTTGTTGCCTCTGCCGTCTTCCTCTATCTTTCCCTTGTAAGATCCTCCAGTCAAATTGTGCTTCAAGATACGACAGAAACCCACGGAGGAGCTAATAAGAGCCGCAGTCATCATGTAGCATTCCCAGCACGAGTGTCCCGAGCCCCTCGATATCCAATCATGTCACACTAAACCAGGCCGAGCTCGAGAGCCTCGTAATTCGTACCGAGAGCCATGGACCGACCTCGACTGAGCGACGGCTGCGTGTATTCATGCCCGCCGACAACCCGGGCATCAACCTCTGCAAGGTCGTCATGTCCGGCCTCGCGCTCGGCTACCCCCTCCCCGTCCTCCTCAACTGGGACGGCGACTTCAACAGACCCGAGTGGCAGTTCGCCGGCACCCACATCGCAAAGCTCGAGAGCCTGCTGGCAGTGATCGAAGAGCTCCTTGACAACGACCCAGACGCGCACGAGGACGACCTGGCGCTCATGATAGACGCGTACGACCTGTGGTTCCAGCTGCCCCCGTCGGTCCTCATCCAGCGGTTCAACCAGCTCAATCGCGAGGCGAATGAGCGCAACCGCCAGCTCTGGGAGCAGTCCGCTTCCCATCAGAGCTTCCCGATCCCTCCCCCAGAGCAGTCCATTATCGTGACCACCGCCAAGGACTGCTTCCCCCTGGCTGACTCCGGTTCCGATCCGCACTATGAGCTCTGGCCGCCGTCGCCGATGCCGACAGACTTTTATGGGGAGGGAACGGACACGCTGACACCGCCGTTGTGGGATTCTGCACGTAAGTATCGCAAGATCCGTCCTCGGTGCGTAAACAGCGGCTTGATCATGGGCACGATGGGCGCCATGCGGGACTCGCTGCGCCGTTGCAGAGAAAAGGTCGAACAAGTCGCAAGGGAAGGCCGCCAGCTCTGGAGCGACCAGGCGCTGTTTGGCGAAGTCATTGGCGATCAGGAAGCATGGCGCACATGGGTGAGGGAACTGGCGTCGACCTGGGACGGGAACATGGCCGAGAGCGTCAACTCAACGTCGGACGAGCACGTGCGCCGCATCGCCGAGGAGGCACTGGGAGGGGCGCGGTTCGACTTCGGGATCGGCTTGGACTACAACTTCACCACCGCCCCCGCGACGTGCTCCGCAGAGGAGGATGGGTATTTTGTCAAAATGTCGGATGCGGCCGCCATCAAGGAGCTGTCCGAGAAAGCGGGCGTGCCCGACGGCGTGCGCGTCGAGGGAGTGCCACCCGAGCTTTCGAACTCGGGACTGGAAAAGGACAGGTTCCGCGACGTCAATTGGGAGGACCAGTCGCTATACACTGATTTCTTCTTCGGCATTGCTCCGGTGGGTATCCACCACAACGCCTACATCGATGGTCTCAAGTCATGGCGGTTGAAGAATTGGTGGGATAAGATGTGGTTTTACCCTCGACTCCGCGAGCTGGTCACGGACACGCTCCAGTCCAGCCCCGACTCGCCGCGTCCTCTGGCGAGGGTGGACGACGGTGGCAAGCAAGTCCTCTACCAGGCCGACAAGGGCGCCCGTGTGACAAACTACAGCCCTGCGAGAGGCTCCCTTCCAGCCCGCTTTGACTCAATGGAGTGGGACGAGATCTGCCAGAAAGGCTCGAGGCCATGGTACAATGAGCTGTTTGGCGACGACAAAGGGCCCTTGAGTGTGTGATCTCTGGCAGATCTACGCCCGTTGTCTTACTTGAGTCGTGTATATATCTCACGATGCCAGGCATCTACGAATTCCTAGCGGTTTATCGCGTATGCTCAAACCCCATGGGAATGACAGTCCAGTCACATTGTGAGCATTTTTCATCAACGACTTTATGACATCTTGCGTTCTACACTACGGTGTTTTGGAACTACATCTTAATATTGCATCCAGGCATATTCCTAGGGGAGACTACAGCATGAAAATATCAGTCAAGGTGCGACCTAGCAAAGCCGGATGTGCTGCTTGCCCTTCGAGGCTTGGCAAATCCTGCAATGTCAGACATTTTACTATACACGCATACGTGTACTTATCAATATCAATTGTATCCACGAACTCCACTAGAGGTCGTCGCAAATAGATAGATGATCTTGGCCGATGGGCCTCTTGTCACGATACTGGCAGTGCTTATCACTGCATTACATACAAGCTATATCACAAACATGAAGAAAGAAAGATTAAATTTAGATTGGAAACAACTTCAACTGTAGTTCCACATCTTGACATGGATATATACGCGTATAGGTACCTTACATTGTGATCTTCATCACCGTAATACATGTGATTATCTCTACAGGGTAGTGGGATGGGTCATCGCCTTGGCAGAACTGCACCGCCGCAACCACGTAGCATCCTACGACGTTGTGACCTGATTATCTGGGAGATGTTCTAGTCCGGGTACTTGTGTGCCAGCTGTCCCAATGAAAACCCTCAGGCATCTACCCCAATAGCAGACTAACCACTGAATGGCTCCGAGCGCTGGAGACATCGGCCTCGAACTCGGGCGAGAGGCGCTTGCGTCTCGATTCTACGGCCCCGGGCTCATCGCCTGCTGGTACGTCCTGGTCATATCCGTGGCCCTATCCTGGGTCTTCAACACATGGCAGCGTTTTCGGATCACAAAGGAGCTCATCGCGGTGGTGGCCTACCCCGTCGCCGCCAGCGCTCACCTCCTCTACCAGACCGTCCGCTTCCCGTCAGCCAGGAGCCAGTACCTCGCCAACAACCTGGCCAACATTCTCATGCCCGAGGTGAATGGCCCGGTCTCAGCGGGTACCGAATCCGGGGTCTACGTGCTCGACGTCTCGATGGAGGGCCGAGAGAAGATCTTTCCCCTGGTCGCATCCATCAACGCGGCGCTGCGCATCGCGGACAACTGCATCTATTTGTGTCTCGTCTCTCTGGTTCTGGTGGTCCTCGCTCACCACACACCCCCGAAGCCACCGCAGTTTCCCCACCGTCGTCTCCTCGGAGTCCTGCTCGTCAGCTTATTCTGGGCATGGATCGCGGAGGCGGTCCTCTTCGTCAAGCTCCTTGTCTATGCGAGCCACGGCCTGTTGCCCGTCCACTACTCCATCTTGCATCATCTCACGTTCCCCGTGTACCTTGCCGCGGCCCTCGTGCTCGTGCCCGTGTCGCTCATGCCCGTAGCTTTCGTTGTGCAGTGTCTGGTAGTGGCTTCAAAGCAACCAAGCCCATGGATGTATTTTGATCAGCTGCGTTCGGATGCTATGAAGTCATGGAGAATGGCGAAGGGAGAGGGGCGGGACACCGCTTTCCGGCTGGTCCTGGATGTTATTCAATTCACGTGCGTGGCGGTCTGCCTCTACGGTGTCTTGCTGTTCCTCGAGTATACTGCATGGGTGATGTTTCCGATACAGATTCTGTTTCCGGATGTGAGAATATCTGTGGCCGAGTTTGACCAAGCTGCAGTTCTTGCGGGGGGTGTACTAGTATTATCAAGAAACGTTTACAAGATCACAACGGCCTACGTAAGGGAACACGGCAAGAGTTGATGTCAAGTCTCCTTCAGATTGCGACCTAGCCTAAATGACAAGCTTTAAGAAATCACAGCGAGCCAATGATAGAGACATGTCACACTTCCTTGTAGAATGAGCAGAGACCAACAGACAAGCCAGACCAAAAATAACAACAACCTGTATGCTCGAATCTCAAAACCTGCTCCCATTATTCGAGGCTTCTGCACCTAATTGAGGCTTCCAGCAGACGCCATGATGTTATCGGATGGGAAATTTCTTGGATTCTCTGCTCCTTCAGCAAATATTGATGAAGGCCAGAATCTTGTTCGGGCTGGTCATATCAACGTTCTGCTTTTCAAGTTGAGCGTACAAGTCCCACTCCAGCGACGCTATTATCATGTACAGCATCTGATCCTTGTTGAGGTAGATATCAGACAGCTTCATAAGGTGCTGGTACTGTCTGACCCAATGCTTCTTGATATCCGTGGGGGTTCCAGTAGAGATAGTGGCCGGCGATGGCCGTGGGAGGTCAATTTTGAATTTGGGGTCCATCTTGACTTGATTGGATAGTTGAGCGTATTGGAATCTTTGGATACTGGCGCGGGGATTGATCTCGGTATTCGTTGCTTGCAAAGACTGGTAAACCCGTTGGATTCTGATGAAATTGTTGATGATGAGAATGAGAAGGTCAGTTTTCATCACGACAATGGGCTATTTATCCTTTTTCAAATATTGGCTGAGGCCGTGAATCACAGGACCTTGCTCATCACGGAGAGTATCATGAAGTTGGTCATGGCCTAGTTTGAATATCAAGCATCAATCAACAGGACAAGCCTGGAGGCATCACCAACTGCCCACCCACCTATGAATTGGCTTGCACGGGCCAAAGTTGACAAGCTCAGTCACTTGATTGGGCACGCCAACATTGTCTGGAACGACTGGCCCAGATGCACGGATAACAACCCATACTCTGGCAGCATGGCCGGTTGGGGGAACGTGAAGACCGATTTTGAAGTCCATGTCCTAGAGACGGCCAGATAGAAGAAACTTGGACAGGGCCCGTGATAGATGTAGATTACGACGCATTGTAATCTAACGGTTTTCTTACAAGCATGTCGCGTTTCCTAATAATATCGCGTCATAGCATAATGGTGGTAGCAGAAGGATCGAGGCCTTCCGACTTCATATCCAAGCATTCCAAGCGTATTGACCATGATGTCGATGAATCAAAGACGGCACACCTGTTTGTTTGTACCGATCACGTTTTGGGAGACGCCGATTTCCAAAAGACGAACCCATGAATCTTCTGGACAAACACCAGGTCAGACCGTTGCCCTCCCGGTCGATCAACAATCTGATAGTTTCAGACTTGACGATACCCCCTAGATGGAAGTTTGCCCACGCAACCGTTCGGACTACTGGTTACGGCCCACGCACGTATTTGCATACCTCTGCGAGCGTGCCGTTGAATGATCCGCAAAGATTGAGTTGCCTCTCGCCAGAAGTCTCAGTCGCCCTCCGTCTCACGATCGACGGTATCAGGGGGTGAGACAGTTCAATAAGTTTCCGAGCTAGGAAAACGGGTAGCTTGCTAGCTAGGGGTCGGGACCAACGGCTCCAACGCTTGCAGAATCAAAAGGGGACCATCAAAAAGCAAATGAGCATCGCATTGTGGCGACGGTTGACTCACATCCGCCTGGCATGTGGAATCACGGAAGACGGTTTAAAGAAAACATTGAAGCATCCACTCCGAACCCTCTAGGGATGCTGTCCCGTTCCGCCCTTGCGACTCATTCACAGTCCTTCTATGCATCCAGCATTCCTCACTCCTTGACCTCTCCCTCGAACGGTGGCCGCTCCCTGGGGTCCATCCATCTAGGGAAGATCCAAAAACGTTGGATATGCAAACGGGAATCGGAGACAACTCACACTGGATCGGAGACGTGTTATGACGCCTCACCTTTGTGTATAAAAGAAGGCTCAGATCTCTCCTCCATCTCGACTCTTTTCTTCATCAGCATCAATCAACTCTCAGACAACAAAGCAACAGCTTCTTCCTTCAACCTTCACTCCACACTCTTTAACCAACTTTTCCGAGTTCAACTCTCTCTTTCAACCACATTCAAAATGAAGGTCTTCGCCATTGTCGCTACTCTCCTCGCTGGCTCTGCCATGGCCGCCCAGCAGGCTGCTGCCCCCAAGGCCGATGCTGCCAACGCCCCTACCTTCGGTACGAGCTCTCACCGCGAGTGATTCACATCACCCCTGTTTGCTAACCAAGAGCCACCTTCTAGGCAACCTCCTCGACATCATGAGCAAGGTCGTCGAGGCCATCGGTGAGCGCGTCCCTGAGCTCCAGAGCGATGCTGCTTCCGTCAGCGCCTCCCTCGACGCCTTCAAGCAGTCTGCTGCCTCCGTCAAGGTCGGCTCCCTCGTCGGCGAGGCTGCCGCCGCCGCCTCCCCCCAGTAAATGGGTTCTTCTCCTCTAGAGTCCGCGGGTTGGGGTCTCACTGAAGAAGACCCGGTTGGGGTTTATGGTTCGGTAATAGGGGGATAGAAGGATGGCAGTTGGTTCTTAATTGGTTCTTAGATTTCGGCCTTCTCGTTTAATGTAAAGTTTGCTAGCTTTCTCCCAAACAATAAATACTCTCTCAACAAATCTCTCATTTTCTAATTACATAAATCATCTCGTTTCAATAAGCTTGATAGCGGCTGGGTTGAATACAATATCTCGGGTATGAAACACATAAAACATCTCGCTTTTGCTCCCCTATATCCGACACCCTTTGAGGGGTTTAGTCGAATACATCGGTCACATACCTCGTGTTCCTCAAACTCTCAAACCAATCCTCCGTACCAACATCGACCTCATGGTTCTTCTCCCACTCTGCCCTGATCTTAATGACCACCGATTGCACGGACTGTGCGACGCCCCGAGATCCACACACGTAGATCTTGGCATCCTGCTTCCACAGCTGTAGAAGCTCATCACGGTGCTCCCACATGGCATCATCAACATGCTTCAGACCATTGCTCTTCTCCGCAGCCCGACTATACGCCCTGTAGACCTTGACGGCCCCAAGCTTCTCCCACTCGTCCAACTCCTCATGGTACAGGTCATCCTGGTCGGGCGAGCGGCAGCCGAAGAAGAGCACCGCCGGCGCCAGCTTACGGGTGCTGTTGTGCGACAGCATCGTCGCGCGCTCCTGAATGAAACCGCGGAAGGGTGCGAGGCCACTGCCGGCAGCAATGTAAATGACGGGCGTGGATTCAGGCTTAGTGGGCATGCTGAAGGCGGCGTGTGATGGCCGGACAGCAACATGGATGATGTCGTTTGCGTAGAGGGAGTCGAGGTATGATGTGGCAACACCGATGTAAGAGCCTTGGCCGGACAGTGCGGGCTCGTTGAGGACGGAGAATGTCACCGTGACGTGGTGAGGGTTCCAGATTGGAGAGGAGGAGATGGAGCTGTAGGGGTCATTAGTCTTCTGTCTGCATTATCTAGTAAACAGCAACACTTACTATTGCCTAACACGCATGGGGGGCATCAGCGAAAGGAAGATGCCGATGGGAAGGTCGACGTCAGGGAAACGCTCCAGTATGTCAAGAACGGAAAGACGCTTTGCCGTGACTTCTGCGTCGAAAGATTCATTTGCGAGCTTCTTAAGCTCAGTCTTCGTGCTCTCCTCAGTAGTGTACTCTACTAGAGAGTTGATGCTCTATCAGAGACGGTTAGCATTGTAAGTCTAGGCTTATATCTATGACATTTCTTACCCTCTTAGTCGCAGGCTGCGACAGCTCCACGTACGACCCTAGAATATCGTTGGCCGAGATGGAGTTGCTGCTTGGCAAAGTCGAAGCTCCACCAGCTACATTAATCTCCAAGTGAGCATCCCGCGGCAGCTTGAATCGTCGGAGGGCGCGGTGGACGCTTTCACGAGGATTCATGGGAAGGACGGCTAGATAGTCACCGGCCGCGTACGTCATGTCTTCTGGGAGCTTGATTTCAATATGCTTCTTGACTGCCTTTGTTTCATTCTTGGTGGTGAGAGTATGCGTCTCAACAACAACGGCTTCCTTGACTTCTTGACGTAGTGTCGAGTACCGAGGGGTAGAGAGGGACACCTTGACTCCCGTCTGTGTCTTCTTCAGCTCCTCTGCATCTGCGCTTGAGACGTCAAACTTCTTGGACAGAGATGGCCACAAGACGTTGTCCTCCCAGGTTTCGAACTCAGTAAAGAGATTGCCGCCAGAGGCATCCGCCAGGCCGATTTCAGCAACCCTGTTGGCACCCAGCTTCTCAAGCTGGCTGTCGACAAACTTGGGGATTTTGTGGTACGTGGCCGCCCAATCTTTGTGGCCGCAGCCGAAGACTGTGTAAGAAACATCTTGGAGGGAGTTCTCTGCCGAGTCTTGGATCCAGGCAACGAAGTGGCCGGCATTGTCAGGGGGCTGTCCCTCGTATGAAGCGGTGACAATGACAAGAGGTTGGTTCTTAGGCAGCTGGCCCTTGGCACTGTCCAAGCAATCAACCTTGGCAGCACGGAAACCGTGGGCTGGTGCATCGGTTGCGATTCGCTGAGCCAAAGCCTCGCAGGTTCCGCTGTTGGAGCCGTAGAGGATAGTCAACGGCACGCCAGCAGCATTCTTGTCGTCATTGGCACCATTAAACGCCACCTTATCCTCGGCCTTCTCAGCGCCGTCTCGCCCAGCCAATCTCTTCTCGAGCGTAGTGGGTGTCAGACCGTCACGGAGGATGGCCCGCATATACATGTCTTTGGGCTTGATTGTCAACGTCTGCTTGATGGCACCAGTAAAGCCAGGTTCCATGACAAAGTTGAAGTTTTGCAGGAGCATGGCCATGACCAGAAGAGCCTCTTGCCAGGCGAATGGCCGGCCAATACATCCTCTCATTCCATTGCCGAAAGGCTTCCAGGAATTAGGAAACTCCTTCATGAGTTTGTCGAAAGGTTCGTCCATCATACGCTCCGGTTTGAACTCGTTTGCATCATCTCCAAAGACCAGGGGGTCAAGTTGCGATTTGGCGAGCAGGTTGAGAACAACCTCACCCTTCTCAATTTTATATTTACCACCGATAATTTCATCCTCGAAAGGTTGGACAGTAAACGCAGGAATTGGGGCATTTACTCGGAGTACCTCGCGGAGCACTCCGTTGATATAGGGCAGCTTGGATAGGTGGTCGACAGTGATGGGTCCCTTTCCAACAACTTCGTCTACTTCCCTCTGGGCCCTTTGGTATGCTTCAGGGTGACGGAATAGCTGCTCGAAGGCAAAAGAAAGCAGACCGGACGTGGTTTCATGGCCAGCAATCAAGAAGGTAATGAGGTTGTCCATGATGCTCTCATCCGTCATCTTCTTGCCAGTCTTGCTATCCCGACCCTTCAACATGGCCGACAACAAGTCATAACGGTCGTCATTCCCCGCTCTTCGGGCGTCAAGAACTCCTCTAGCTGTGTCTCTTAGGACTTTGATATCGTCTTCAAACTTCTTGTCCACAGCCTGGTACATGAAGGCTGGCAGCGGCAAGCGACGACCTCGCTGACCAGCCTCCAGAAGAAAGTCGCCCATGGCCTCGATGAAAGGGTGCATGATGGGCGAGTAGTAGCTGTTGAAACGGTAGCCCATGGAGCAAAGAGCCAGGGTGTCCAACGTCAATCGTGTGAAGTCATCCGTAACCATGATAGGGTTATCAGAGCCGTAGCGCGCCCACTTAAGAGCCAGCTGCGATGCAATATCGTGCATCTCATCGTACATTTTGCGGATAGACAAGGGGCCAAACGCGGGCATAAGGATGCGATGAGCGATGCCCCAGTTCTCCTCTTCGGGACCAGTAGCAGTGAAGAGTCCATCATGGATACCATGGCGAACCTCCTTCAAAGCTGCATTGACGCTCTTCTTGAAGCGCTTCTCATCACAAGTCTCGTTTACTAGGGCATGTGTAGAGACTAGGACGATACTACGACCAGGAAAACGCAAGCGATAGATTTCACCTATATGAGGGTAGAGAAAGGAGATGAGATAAAGTTCAACGAGAAGACTACGGACAATAAGACGGGCTGATTGACTCACCATACTGATCAGCAAGCGCTGTCATGGAACCCAGAGGGAAGTCGGGGTTCAGAGCAGTAATGTTGCCAACGAAAGGCCAACCAGGTGGCTCTGGGATATCGACAAGCTCCGCCATGGTTGTTTGATGATACTAGTTAATGGGAGGTACTAGTATGATGAACTGGATGGATGGATGGATAAATGTTTAGGTTCCAGAGATGGAGAGAGCAGCTGAAATATAAACCTTGCCATCGCGTCCCATCGGCGCGCAGATACCGGCAGATCTGGCACACAAAGATCCTGACTAGAATGATCTGCTAGTCCGCAAAAGCTCTGAAGCAGTCGCAGCGGGTTTCAATCCTTCGCTACAAGCAGCCGCAGCCATACCGTGGCAAGCATGTTGGGGCTGCCGGTGCTATCGGCCATTCTCCAAGGTGCCAATCCCGTTCTGTTTGCCATTGAATCAGGCCCATTTATCAAGGACCCGAAACCAGGCCGCCTGCTGCTCTTTTCCTGGTGCGGGAGGATGGATTTCGGCCAGGCCGACCATCAGTCCGGGCGGGTGAATCCTCCGTACGGGGCCAATCTTAGGAGGGCCAGATATAGACACAGGCCAATGAGCCCGTTGGCCTGCTCACCGACAAAGGGAAGCCGGCTCCAGCCCGATTAAACGAGATGTCATTATTCGGCCTTTACAAGCGTTGGCGCCGTCTCGCGTTTCATGCAGGATCAGGGCTGAATGACGGCATCCGCGCAGTGACCCAGACATTAGTAATGGGGCTCGTCGTATGGAGAGTCTCGGGATTCGGAGCGTCTAGCTCAATTCGTCCACTGATTTGTTGAGATGCGTCCACTCCACCAACATAACAGGACGAGAGGTGAACTTGAGCCTAGGCAATTCGGAGGGCGACATCTCCACACACCCTTTCGAGGAAAAGCGGCCGTTGCAATTGCAGGCATCGCAGTTCTATCAAGGGTTTAGGTAGAGACAAGAGGCCCTCATCAAGTGCTCCTTCCTTGACTGGGCTGATCTGATCACAGCTACCCGGTACTCAAGTCCAATGGCTTCTCCTCATTAGCAGATGGCTGTGTAAGGCCTCTATTGTATTCCCCCATATCTGCCCAATTTGCCTGATAATATATCGGGTTGTCATATTAGATTTTCTAGTATAGTATTAAATCCGGCGGTCTTTTCGAGGCTGTCTTGGTAGTTCCGTGGTTAAAGCACTGGATGGCTTGAGAACCCAGACCTTGCTTTCAACTCCAGTAGCCAGTATCTACCTACCTAACAGCTGCATTGGCAGAAAAGTCGAATCTCACATACTTAGTGACCAACCTGCCACCACGCTTGAGTGTGTTGACCGTGTTTTTGATGGCGAAGCGCAACCACCCCATCCCGGCTCCCCTCACCCTTTGGGTTCTCTGCATACCAATGCCTGACGCGAGGTAACCACACGAATTACACCAACTGCCAACGGGAAGACCACTCACGAATAAAGCTCGCCGCTGAGGCTTGGACCCAGTGCAAAGCAAGAAAGGCCCACCAGCTGGTCCTGAGCCGAGGCGGCATTCTGCACTCCCTGCATGAGCTCCGCCCCGCTCCCTGTCGCCAATCTCGCGATCAGCCAAGGCCAGACGGGATTCAGGTTCCTTTCGGGGGGCTCGCGGGCGACATCAATGAAAAGGGCACCAGCTCCGAATTCCAATCTGCAGTCGTATTGCACCGCATCCGACGGGCATTGCGAGTCGAAAACAATTTTTCTATGTCCGCCGTGGTGGGAACGCCACCGGCCGACCCGTATAGGCTCATCGAATTAGGTGAGGTCTGCTCGCCTGCATTACCCACTGCAGCTTACTATTAGCAATTGATCAGCGCCAGGGGGTTGGAAATATGGACCTTGTCCGCGTATACACAAATGATCTCGAGTGCTCGCGCATAGTGATGTCAGTTCCCTGTTTTGTTGTCAATGATTGATTGTAGCCTTCAAGCACTTGCTAGAGAATCTGTGATATCTGTTGTTAGTATGTCCTATTCATAGCGAGGATAGGAATACGGCCGCATAGGCAAGGACGTCTAGGTATTACAACCATCCGGAGTCCGAAGCCTCCCGTGTTTCATCGGCATATTAATGCACTGAATCATGAAAACGGCAGCTGATTATCGGGGCGCTGGGAGACACACCTCGTGTTAGGTACCGCTGGACTTGTAACCACTCTAAAAACCATAGCAGTCATGCAAGGGAGTAAGAATACATCACCATGCATTGGAGAAACCCGACACTTTAAGGGGGTGAACAGAAGACGCGGAATGATTACGATCTGCCGGGCTAATATATGGATATGAAGTTCAATGAATCAAAGTTGCCGGGCACGCGAGAGTAGGGAAGAAATTAATATTCAGCAGTAAACATGATATCATATTATTAAATCTCTTATCTTTGTATCAAGAGCTGTCTGACTATATAACAATAGCAACTGACGCAAGGAAACGCATGTGAGGGTATACAGCCATTGTGACAAGAAGCCGGGCATGATAGTCGTAATAATAAAAACCGAGAAAACAAAAGAATCCTGCCAGAAATATAGTGCGCCCGCTTCATACCTATACTTAAACATCGATGAAGCTCCAAGAATAGTGAGCCTCAACCTGATACGTATCAATTCGTCCTCACCACACCCTACCCAATACCAAGACCGAGTTAGACCTCGTGATAACAAAGGAAATACCCACATGTGAAATCAATTCAGCAGTTGCCGGCATGGTTGTGGAAGTCTTCGGACATCCGCACAATTTCGCACAAGCTTCGAGTGAAGAGCATGTCCACTCCCCGTGTCTCCATTTCGACAATCTTCTCGTCAGCCTTGTCGTCTTCAGACATCAATTGAGCGGTAGCAATAAGCCTCACGATGCACCGCATGAGGCCGGTTTGGATTTCCCTCGTGGTATTCTCGTTGCTTGCTGCTCGCGATGACTGCTCGGCCACCATTCCCTCCTTGTTCAGAGTCCACGATGACGAGGTACGGAGCTTGTTGAGTGCGGGTCTTTCAATGCTTGGAATTGAACCACCTTGAGAGGCCGCAAGACCAAGAATAGATGCTGCTTTCTTCGGTATCTCGTCCTTCTGCGAATCATTCGAGGTGGACGAGCGATGTCGATTAGCTTGGGGAGGAGCGCGGGGGATGAGAGCCGAGATATAGTTATAGGCCACAATGTGTGCCCAAAGTGCCTCGCAAATGTAGTCAGAGCAGCATCCAAACACGCTCTTCAAGGGCAACCATGTCTTGGGTGAGGGTGGGGGTAGAGAGCTTGAACTGGGTGATTTTAAGCTCTGCTCCGTGGGGCTTGGGGAGCGTGTTCGGTCACGAGGTGAAGTTGACGAGCCTCTTTTATAAGTTACGACTCTCCTCCAGAGTGATTTGCGCGGATTCTCGACTGGCGGGTCAGGGATCAGATTGTTGACGAGCTCGATGCTTGGTTGCCTGACCTTCCTCGAGTAGATGCGAATTGTCTCGATGGTCAAGCTTGAGGTTAAGAGCATCGTCTCGGGAAAGCAAGCAATGGAGACTCTCAAAGTCTCTATTATGTTCGGAGGGAGAGGAACGGCTTTGGCTAGATCATCGCCCTGGCACTGGGCAGCATATGGAAGTGCGTTTCCATGCAGCCACGACTGCACAGTGGGCAAAGGGGACGGGGGTGGAGATGGGCGAATGAAGACGGGATTTTGTGATGTCTTTCGTGGAGCAATAGAAACTTCGTCGCTGTCGCTGTCGCTGTCATCGTGGATGTAAGGTGGATGGGTAGAGGGTTTTGAATCATTGAACGGTCTTGCGCTTTTCCGAGAGCGAGTTGATGACTGGCGAGCAACTTTCTCATTATTCTGGAGGCTCATGGCCCTAGGGCGATCACGAAACGAATTGTCTGTGTGTGAAAAAGAAGGTGAGGTGGGAGAGGACGCCGACGTCTTTGTACTGAGCGCATAGCGTGTGTGACAATTGGGAGCCATTCTAGGTCGGTCCGAAGCTGACTCTGAGAGCCGACTCGAACGTCGTCTCATTGGAGGACATGGTGACACACCGACAGAATAGGACTTTCTGTGGCTTTGCTTCCTGTTCAAGGGTATATCATGAATATCTGCTGCATGATCATACCCGAGCTCCGATACGGGTGGGGTAGGGGGCCGTGGAGAGAGGGAGCCAATGTGATTCTCTACCATCTGCTCTGGCTCATCCTCATCCGAGTCGGCGTCAATCCAGCTGTGTTCCAATTTCGAATCGTATGATAGAGTCTTGTTTAGTGATGGGACCGATATGTTGGAGGCGAGAGATGTCGCTGCAGTACTGGTCATCAGTTCGTGGCGTGCGATGGAGGATGGACAGACTGTGCTTATGCATCCCTCGTTGGCGTAAAAGGAATCATCGTCTGTTGTAGAGTAGTCTGTGTGGGCGCTGTGGTCGACAAAGGACACAACTGAGCGGCGCTCTTGGATTGAACCCAATTGTCGCCCTGTTCTGGACGCAAGCTGATGTTGTGGAGTTTGGGGATGTCGTGAGGGCCAACCATGAGATGAAGTTGCACCTTTTGCTTCAGATGTCATTGTTTCGGCATTGCCAAGCGGAAGGTTTTGCGTTGCGATGATGACTGCAGACCTCTCAAGGTCCTTGGCTAGAAGCTCCGGGAAGTACCCATCCACATGATTCTCGATCATCTCTCCTCCGGATACGGATAGGGGAGTAGAAGAATGAGAGCACGCGGGTGACAGCGCAAGTGGCATAAGTTCCTTCATACTGGAAACGGACCTTCGCTTGGTCAGAGATAATGAAGAATGCGGTCTTTTGTCCTCCGCGGAAGCTGGGTCGGCTGGAGATACTCGATGATGAGCTGGGTACGAGTGTGCTATGATACGACGGCTGGATATATGAGCCGCCGGGTGGTCAAGAGCATTCATACGGAGGAGTCGAGCCTGGGGCAGGGCCAGCCAGAGGATTTAAAAAGGGACCGGCAGGTGATATAAGACAGATGCTCGGTGGAGGGAGACGGAGCGAAAACGTGCGCATGCTATATTAGTTGAGTCAAAGCGAGAGACCAGAGAGAGACAGGGAGGCCGGAGGGCCGAATGTCGCGTAACCAACGGTTGCCATGAAAGTCGTGTGTAGGTGGGTGGCGGTAGAAATTCAATACTTCAGGTTGTCGCAAGTAGGAAACGACAGAATGTCGTGTCACACAGCCATAATACATATATGAAATTTGCCAAGCTCGGAGGCTCGGACAGTAGAAACATAGCCATGGGGACTGTGTTCATGTGGACAGGCTGGGCGTGGTATGCTGCTCAACGTGGTTCCTCGATGCCGGCTTACATCGAGCTTCGAAGTAGGACGGGCAAAAGCAAAGAGCAGTACAACTGTGCAAGGCAGGGATGAGCAAAGCGCGGACTTAGACCAGCAGCTAAGGGTTGGTTGGTGTGTGTTAACTTGTGACTTGTCTTGGTATTTGATAGACACCCCTGGCGGTACTAGCCGCATATGCACGCATTGACCACAGCAACTTGCGAGACACAATTTGACGAGCCAGTCTAGTTTTGCATGCCAGACAAGTCTTGCCATCGGTCGGGTCGCAGTGGCAACACACTGGCTTGCACGAGGCCAAAGCGAGTGTGATGCATCACCCGGGACACGAGTCTCTGGAAAGACGAGGGAGGCGGTGGATGCGTCGAGAACCCCTCATTCCCATGTGGCCACTCGTAATGGACGCTTTGATTGTTGTTGGGTAATGAGATTATGATATCTGAGAGGTATGGCGCGGTTGCTCTCACCATGTTGGGCAACAACCCGTCCCAGCGGCCCCAGCCAGAGCCTAGTAACCCAATAGCTTTGATGAGGGGATGCAGCCCATCGGAGAGTGCCAGTACATCTCTTACTCTTGAAACGCAAGAGACGTTGTGCGACGTAGAGGAAGCCTAGTACAAGGCAGGTCCGACCGTCGTGAGGACCGCGAAACTAGGTTCTGGATCCAGTTTGCGTCTCGCTTCCCGACTCGCATACATGTGGCTGAAACTTGCCAAAACCGAATTTTCGGAGTTTCACACAAGAGGGGAAATGCGATCATGGAGGTTCCGAAAGCTACTTGGATTCTTGAGTGTGATCATGAAGCAGAAGCAGTTGGCCGGCGCTACTGCTTACGGACACTCATGTTAGCCTACCTTAAATGTACGTACTTTGAAATTGGCGACAGCTGTCTGCCACCCTACTTTGGCGTCCTGGATCGGGGGTAATATGATATATCAAGTTCGACATCCATGGAAGCACCCAAGGACAGACATCCGACACGCGGCATTCAAGGCCAAAGCGTGGGACTGAAGAACGTTGGTAAGCCACATGGTCTCTCAGGAAGTAAAGCGGTTCTCTTTTCTTTTGGAAATGGCGAGCGGATAGTCTCGTGGTTGTGCAGGGGAGAGTTGGGCCAGTGTGATGTGATGGATACCTACCCAAGCTGTGTAAAGGGGCAACTCTTTGCACGGTGTGATCAAAGATCTGCACGGGAAATGGCGACGCCATGTTGGCCACAGAGCAGGAGAGACACAGGTAACTCGAAATTGCCTAGAGGATGGAGAGAGAGATGATGGTGTTGAGCTGGCGTGGTTGGGAAAAAGAAAACATGTTCAGCTCGAGAGATGAAATCGGGTGAGTGCAGTACCTAGGTAGTCCAGCGGTCCAGTGGTCGCCACATATGTAGGTACAGTACTTGCCGGCCGTTGGGCCAATGGCACCGTTCCGGGCACTCCTCGAAGCCAATCTTGGGCCTAAGGGTCGCCCGCACGCCGCTAGAAATTAGCGGGCCTTGGGCGTTCGGCTAGTGGGTGGCGGGCAGTAATCAGCCCTGGAGAGACGAGGAAATCAATCGTGAAGGGGCTCAGGCCTGTTTCGGCATAGTGACCTTGTAGTGGGCTCGAACCGTGCCCCAACTATCGCCGTCATTTTTTCTTTCTTTTTGCTGTTCCCATACCCGATCCGTATTGTCCTGCGTCTGAGTTGCACAAACCTGTTGCACACCTCCTCGTATCTTTGCCCATCGAGATTTTTTTTCTGGAGCTCTTCACGTGTCCCTCCCTACAGGTCATTAGTTTGGCGCGTCGCTCTGACTTGCCCGGCAGCCGGCCTGAGCACAAGCGACCCTCGGATGATATGATATACAGAAATCAGAAACAACACTATTGAATCCTGCCTGCCCTGGCCATTGCCTGCCGCATGCCAATAGCCTTGCCATCACCCTGCTTCTGAATTGATACCTGGGCATTCCTCTTCCATCCTTGGATCGAAAAGTATAGAGTGGCCTGATTATTGCTGCACCAGATGCTCTCCGAGGACTTTCTATCATCTGTGAGCGGGCCCCCAGTGGCCGCTAACACCGCTGTGTCCAAGGACATTGGCATCTACTCACAAACCCTCAGCCCGGCATATTCTATTCGGGCATCTTTCAAGAAGAGCTCATGTGCCCGGCATTGTCTCGCAGCTAGTGACACACATGTGTTTGCTGCCCAAGACCAGAAGGCCCATGTGCATGTTTACTCGCGGGTACGAGGGAACCAGGAGGCTCTGGTCCCATTTACTGAGAGGATCCGGAGCCTGACTCTTTCCGGCAACGTCATCATCGTCGGGACAATTGAGGGTAGGCTAATCTTGTGGGAGGTTTGTTGATTCATTATCTTAAAACATGTGGCTTGGGGCTGACCAAGCTTCTAGACTTGCACGGGGCGACAGGTCACAACGCCGCCCTGCCATGTCCAGGCAATTTCCTGCCTGGCTGCGACGCCACATCACCTGCTCTCTGCCTCTGATGACTCCAATATCAATGTTTGGTCTCTTGCGCACTTGCTAGAGTTTGATGTACAGTCCGAGCAGGAGCCGGAGAGGGTGCTCTCGAACCATCGTGGCGCCATTACGGATCTTGTCACTGGTCCAAGCACGAACCAGGAGACAAACATCTGCGTGTCATCGAGCAAGGACAAGACCTGCATAGTCTGGAATTACCGTACTGGTCAAGTACTTCGGACTTTGCTGTTCCCTGCTACCCCTCTCTGTATCACAATGGATCCATGCGCCCGGGCCCTCTATGTAGCTGCCGAAGGGGGCGCTTTGCATGTGGTCGAGTTTTTTGGCGACAAGTTTCTGCTTGGCGCGGAAGCATCCGAACCAGCCTCTATCGTGGTACAGGTAGGTGACCCTGTAGGAGTGGCCGAAGATGAGGCAGGCGAAGCAAACTGCATATCTTGCAGCTATGACGGAACCACCATCCTCACTGGCCACACGAAGGGCAAGATCCTGCGCTGGGGCCTGACGCAACCTAGTCATCCAACTGAGCTGGCCAACCTGAATGCTTCCGTGACAAATCTGCTTTTCACACCCCTCATTCCCTCGGAGAAGCAGCTTTCTTCTATCAACATAATGAAGCCAAATCAGGCACATCGGCAATATGTGTTCAATGCACAACTGAAGAACGAGTTAGGCTATGAGTCTAGGTTCACCAATTTGCTCAACACCAATGGTTTTACTGCGGATGCAATAGAGCAAGCAGCGAGAGCTTTCACAACCGCAACCTCTGAGTCACCCGATGATTTGGATGCGGATGATAGACTTTTGTGTATGGCGAAGCAACAACTTCAGAACATGGGAGACAATTCCTTACTGGCCACTTGATGCCTTGCACTCACCATAATTCCATGTTCATTGCCGGGAATTCCATTGCCGGTTTGTTTTCGCAACATGGGAGTCATCAGCGACGGCCTGAATCGGGCTTCAATCTCTGAGGTCGCTCTTCACCTTGGTAACGAACAAACTTAGGAATGCTGATCCCCAGGATCGATACTATGATGATCCACGAGGGAGAGACAGCAGTCAGCTTCTTATCGGCTTGGAGCATTCCGATCTGTTCTATAGATGACTCAGCCACTTATGTGATTACCTGAGTCCTTTTTGCTGGTACAGATCGGAATGGAATGCCTCGCCCAGATTTCACCATCAGTAATCCTGATGTCCACAAAATGAATCACTTTGTTTCGTGGTGCAGTGACTTCGAGAAGGCTCCCATGGTTCTGGAGTTGGGGAAGCTATATGATATCGGTATATATATGTGGGTACCAGACTTTTGGAGACGTGCTTAGGTGCAGAATATCAGAAGTGACTGATTTGCTTCCCAGCAGCGATGCTTTCGCAGAGGCCGTGGGAGAATTCCACACCGAATCTTCTATATTAGATTATCATGAAACTTTTTCCTCTTCATCACATTGCCTTCTGTTCTTCGTCGGAGACTGTAGCCTTGATCCCATGCCTACGTAGACCAATAAGTCGGCAAATTGGCCCGGAGCTGGTAATTCTCCGCGCCGACAAAGGCCGAGCTTTCGGCGCTGGATGGATACATCATTAATTAGTCACTACTTGTAGACTGGATGAATTTCGCAGCCAGCTCGACTCGCGACCGTAGGGCAAGCTCTTCTCTCTTCACCAACCGTCACTCCCAACCGAGCCACACAATGTCTGCCGTTGGCGCATTAAAAGGAGACATGCCGCAACAAGTCCGATCTCTCGTAAGTCTTTTCGTGGCCTCCCAGGGCATCTTATCTTGCCCGCCCGCGGCTGTTAGGCCGGGTTCGGCGGCATGGATGCTGGAGCAACCTCAACCAGTCTTTTTCCCAGAACCTTCGAAAACCCCCCCAATCTTCGACCATTGAGCTAATGATCTGGGTTTCTTTGTGCAGTACCGCCAATTATTACGGCAGGGCAACCAGTTCACCGCCTACAATTTCCGTGAATATGCGAAGCGACGGACGAGAGATGCGTTTCGAGAGCATCTGGCCGTGAACGATCCACGAAAGATCCAGGAATTGGTGCAGCAGGGCTTGAAGGACCTCCAGGTGATGAAGGTATAGCTCTCACTGAGAAGCGAAAGCTGCATTCATCGACGGAATACTGATTTGATGGGGAATTTAGCGTCAGACGGTCATCGGCCAATTCTACCAGCTGGATCGCTTAGTCGTCGAGGGCGGCATTTCGGTAGGTGTTTTCGCTCTGTTGGAGACATTTGCCGTGAACGGAGGGTTGACTTTGTCTCTAGGGAAAGAACAACAGCGAGGAGGGTGCGGTCTTGAGGCAGAAGCAACAAGGGTAAGCTTTACGCCATGGCAATTGGTTCCCAACGGCTATTTTCCCCGCGATCGCTAACCCCCCCTTTTCTAGTTACGATTGAATGCCAACAAACGGATGAGGAACGGAGTTCTGGGGCTCTATGTATAGTAGGAAAATGGACTGCCGGCTTTGTATACCACACTGATACCATCTTTTTGTGACGGGGTTAAAGGTCTTTGGTGCTACCTGAAAATGATTGGTAGCCAATTCTTCTCTACTATTTGAGCACCAGCCCGCTCGTTCGAGGACATGAATGAACGGGCTGTGGTTTTGCTTAATTTTTCTCCCCTTTAAAGCCAAAAAAGACATAATAGACAAGATATTGCCGTTAAAGACAGACGACAAGACAGACTCTCCCCTCCATCATCCTGGTGTAACTCCAGCTTGTCAAGTGCGGATCGCAAGCCCAACTCGGCTCCGTAGGACTCGTAAAGAGACACAAATGCCTTCATCCCGTCTGCTTCCAGACATGCCCGCGAGCTCATGTTACATCATCCCTCCCAAATCACCCATATCTGGACTGGGTGGCGGGCGGCCTGGCAGATGGGCGTGCTGCACGGCGGGTATTATGTAATACGGGGGCCCTCGCGTCATTGGCCACACGAACCTGGCCTTGTGCATCGCAAACAAAACAGCTTTATCTCTTACTGCCCAGCACGCGCATCGCATGCCGCCCATCGCGACAGCACACAGGCCAGCAGGAATTGCTAACGGTTGACCACCCCCTGGGCATCTGAGAAGCCGCTCGCACACCTAATCAGCCGCTGCTTTGCTATTGGCGCAATGGCGCCAGGTGTACGTGGACCACCCGCGAGGCGACCGTGTAGAACAATGAGCTGACAATCCCATCCTTTGCAGACCCGACGCGCGAATCGTAGCGGCTACGCTGAGCACGACGATTTCGAAGGTGCGCATCGGGAATCGCACGCACTTTAGGTCTCATGCTAACTGGCCAAAGGCTTGCCCGTGCGACAATGGCGACAGGACTGGGTGACGGTCGCACCACCTGACCAGCAGGAGCAGCAGCAGCAGAACGACATCTGGGCGATTGAGCTCATCCACGGAATGCCCAAAGATGCCACGCTGCTTCCCCTCCACACCCAAGAGCTGCTCCGTGCCGCGAGATCAGGCCGGCTGTATAAGCGACCCCCGCCGCCCGAGGAGGAAGACGCCGAGGCCGAGGCTGCACCCGAGAAGCAGGAGAAGAAGGAGGAGGAGACAGTGGCGACCGGGTTCTCGGTCAAGTTATGGAAGCAGTTGCCTAGAAGCTCCGAGGACACTGGGTTGTCACATCTGGCTAAGCGTCGCAAGGGGACAATCACGATCGCGAGCAAAACTGTCCATGAGAAAGCTGTTGGTCCCACTGTTACGAGGGCTACGGTCCGGAGAATGGACGCTGCGGGCAATCCATACACAGAGGAGGTCACTTTGGCCGACGGGCAGCAGGTCCAAGGCGAAATCATCTCCACCAGAGTTGAAGCTGCGCCGGTCGGACAGCCTGAGACCTTCCAACATGCGCCGCCGCCACCACCAGCCAGGAAAAGGGCACCTCCTCCTAAGAGGAAGAGGGCCGGTCCTGGACGTGGTAAAAAGAAGGGCAAGATTCCGCTACCCGGAGCAGTGCAACCCGCTGGAGTCGTTCCTGGTGCCAATGGGCTTTCTGCCCCCAAGCCAGATGGCTTACCCAACGTAAGTTTCACTCCTGAAAAGATCGGGGCATCGTCTGACACTTACAATAGGACGCCAAGTCTGCAAGTGAAGCTCCCACGAACCATGACAGCGAAATGGCCGACGGCGATGAAAACGACGAGGACGAGGACGAGGACGACGAGGGTGATGAGGGTGATGAAGGCGAAGAAGGCGAAGGCGAAGACACTCCTAGCGTGCAGCAGCGGGACAGCGCACCAGTCGATGAAGGGCCTCATTTGGACAAGGAAATGAAGGACGCAGCTCCTGCTGTTGAGGCCCCCGAATCGAAAGAAGAGCAAATGGATGTTGAGATGGAAGATGCCACCTTGGCTCCGCCCCCCGCAGACCTGCCGAAGCCTCCTGCTCTGGCATCAGCGCTTGCTGAGGCTTCCGTCTCCTCGCCTAAGTTAGAGGGGAGCCCTCTCAAGAACGAGGTTCTGCCACCACCAGAATCAAAGTCGGCAGATGAAGCCACCCCAGTCTTGTCAGCTACCGACGACGCACCAACAGAGCCCCCGAAAGACCAAGCAGAGGACAATGATCCAAAACAGGAGCCGGAAGAATCCCAACATGCACCAGCTTCTGTTGTAGACTCATTACCAGAACCTAAGGAGGTTACTCCTGAGGCCAGAGTGGAACCATCGACGGACGCGCTTCTACCGCCGCCCCCTGATCAGGTGGGAAATATTTCGTCACCGAATGCATCTCCAAAGGATGAGAGTGCTCCGGACCACTCTTCCTTATCTGGGGACAAAGCGCATGATGACGAGGGCCGTGGTGGGGAGGATTTGTCGGATAAGCCAACTCATGAGCACTCTGATTTGATGTCAGTTGACGATCCAATCAAGCCTGAAGATTCAGTCTCGATGGGAGTCCCTAGAACCGAATCTGGAGCTCCTTCAGAAGCTGCTACAGGATCCGTAGGAGGCACAACTGAGCTCGAATTGAAGGCGGAACATTCCTCAGCGCCGTCCCCAGAGAAGCCCCTGGAGCAACCGTCAGAACAGTCACCTGAACAAGCCTTGGAGCAGCTGCCCGAGCAGCCCTCTGAACAAAACCTCGACCAGCCCCTGGAGGAACCACCCGCACAGTCTGCCGTGCAAGCTCCCGAGGAGAGCTTAGAGCAGCTGCCAGATCAGGCTTCTGAGCAACCTCAACCTGCGTCCGACGTACCGGCCGTGGCCCTGGAGGCCTCGGTAGAAGAGACTCCCCAAATATCTGAGCCAGTCCAAGAGGAGTCAGACTTACTTGATGGCCTCATGGGCGAGCTGGACCGAGAAGCATCGAAGACTGCAGCAGCTGGCGCCGAGTCTGCTGGCCCAACCCCCGTAGAAGTGGTCCCCGAGCCCGCCCCCGCGGCAGGCGTATCTGAAGACACCGTTCTCAAGTCGCCTACCCCTGACAAGGAGCTCAAGACAGAGCCAGAAAGTGAACTTAAGGTCGAGGCGACAGAAGAGCCTTTGCCTGAAGTAAAAGAAGTCAAAGAGGAACCGAAAGATGTTTCTGCTGAAGCACCTCAGGAGGAGACCGCTTCTGCCGAAGCCACCACCGAGGCACCGGCCGGCCCCGTCGATGAAAACTAAATGGCCGGGTTCCTTTTTGGATAAGGAAGTAATCTAGATAGGTTGCTTCTTGTTTCGCGTCGCTGTGAAAGCTCGTACATTCTGGATATGTGTATTCGGCGTTGGACGGTAGTTTCTGTTTCTGCGGTAGAGAGGCAATGTAAATTATTGTCATGGTACCTATGTAGAACACGTATATGATGTTGTAACAAGCATGGAACTAGATTTGAACTCAAACCAAGCACCCCAGCATGCTACGTTTAACACATACATCCGATCTATGCCTCCTGCACTCAATCACGATGGTATGAAATGATGGCCGCGGGGTCCCACGTCATGCCTGCCCTGCTTGACCAGTTGCGCAGATGACTAAGCACCCAATCGCTGAATGTCGCCAACTATCCTGGAACTCCATCAGCTCTGATAGCTAGCTCTTGTCAAGCTGTCATCTGCGCGGTACCAATCCACAAAATGCGGCGCGCATTCAGCTCAATCTTGTTGCTAGGACTCTCGTCCTTTGCGACGGCCGTCTTCCAAGATGAGGTCGACGATATTGACTTCCACTACTCCCTCTTCGGTGTCCCGCAGGCCGAGACGACCTTCTTCCACCGACCACGAAAAGACGACAAGGCCAGCTTGCTCTACACCCTCGGCGACGTTGGGGTGTTCGGCGCTGTGAATCCCAGCAACGGCGAAATCGTCTGGAGACACCAGATCTCCACGGATACTACAATTGGAGGAGGCCACTTTCGGGCGCCAGAGGATGAGGACTGGGTGGCCGCTGCCCACGGATCGACTGTGCAGGCCTGGAATGCTTTGACGGGAAGAAATTCCTGGCACACAAGCTTCCCGGGTGAAGTCAAAGACCTTGAAATTTTGGAGGTTACCGAGACTGGGAGAAAGGATGTTCTTGCTCTGTTTGATGAGGATGGCGTTACTGTGTTGCGCCGGCTGCATGGCAAGTTGGGCACTGTGGTGTGGGAATTCCGCGAACACAACAAGGATATCCCCCTACAGGTGTCTACCAACATTGCAAACATCTATGTCATCAGTCTTCACGGGTCGCCTTCCTCATATAGCCTTAAAATCACGTCTCTCGATACTCTGACTGGCTCGCGCGTCAACGACTGGACCGTCGGTACCAAGGGCGAAGTTCACGGACCCCAGGACGTCATGTTTGTCGGCGCCAACTCTGCAGCACCACTCTTGGCCTGGACCGACTCTTCTCTATCCAAGCTGAGTGTTCATGTTCTGGGTACCAAGGGAAAGCAGGAGATTGCCCTGGGTGCGGAGACGACTGGTGTCGTCATCCACGCCCCTCACTTGACCCAATCGCTGCCTCACTTCCTTGTTCACACAAAGACTGCAACTGGCGGTAAAGGCGAGGTTTACCACACCAACTTGAAGAATGGGCAGATTTCCAAAGCCTATGAACTCCCGCATCTCAAGGGAGAGAATGCTTTCTCGACGAGCTCGGAAGGTGCCAACGTCTACTTTACCCGTATCACCGAGGACGAAATTGTCATCGTCTCTTCTGAGTCTCCTGCTGTTCTCCAGCGTTGGCCCCTGGCATCCTCGTCTCACATCAAGGCGCGCCATGCTGTGTCCGAAGTCATCAAGAAGCCCGGTGGCGAGGAGTTTGCCATCCGATCTGCCGTCACCACCGTCTCAGATGACTGGACTTTGGTCCGAAACGGAAATGTTGATTGGAGCCGTCCTGAAGGACTCAGTGCTTCCGTCGGTGCCGTTTGGGCTGAGCTACCCGAAACTGAGAGCCTTGCCAAGGCCCTGGAGGAGGAAGCCCATACCAACCCCCTCTCTGCCTACATTCATCGTGTTAACCGTCACATTAGTGATCTCAAATACCTCCCCGCTTGGCTTCAATCAATCCCTACCCGCCTGATTGATAGTCTCTCTGGTGAGACTCACAGGGACACATCGTTGCACCGCGACAGCTTTGGGTTCAACAAGGTCATTGTATTGGCAACGCGACGTGGGCGGGTTTATGGCCTCAGCACTGCGAATGCTGGAAAGGTCATTTGGTCAGCAAACGTCTTTCCCCAGCTTCAGGGCCAGTCATTCGAATTGAAGGGTCTTGTTGCCAAGGGCGGCGAGAGTAGCGTTGTCACGCTCCAGGGGTCAAAGGGTGAAGTCGCAGATATCAATGCCATCACGGGAGAGGTTCTTCGAGTTGTTGCTAGTGGCCCTAGCATTGAGAGCACCGCTACTCTTCAGGATGAAAATGGCGTTTGGCTTCTTGCTCTCGATTCCTCGGGCAAGCCAGTTGGCGAATTGCCCAATGGCGTCGTGCCAAAGGAGACTATTGTCGTTCGTGGAGAGGGAGAGGTTATCAAGGGTGTGCGTTTCGAGGCCGGTGAAGATGGGGCTACTGCTCAACAGACTGAAGTATGGCAGCTGCAACTACTCCCTGGTCAGCGCATTGTGGACGTCGCAGTTCGCCCTTCTCACGACCCAGTGGCGTCAATCGGCCGCGTTCTTGGAGACCGAAACGTCAACTACAAGTACCTCAACACAAACACCATTGTTGTTGCCGTCCTTTCCGATGAGGATTCTGTGCTCTCTGTCCGATTGGTGGACACAGTATCTGGACAAATCTTAGCCTCGCAGTCCTACGACGGCGTTGACGGAAGCAAGGACGTATCATGTGTCATTTCTGAGAATTGGTACACTTGCTCCTTTTTTGGGCAGTATTTGCTGAATGATGGTTCTGGCCAGACTATCAAGGGCTACCAGATCACCTCTACGGATCTCTACGAATCCTCTACACCCAATGACCGTGGCCCTCTCGGTGACTCTGCGAACTTCTCGTCTCTTAACCCTGTGGATTCCCCGACCAAGGCTCCTCTGCCCTTCGTTGTTTCTCTAGGTTTTGTTGCCATCCAGCCTCTGACGAGCCTCTCTGTCACTCAAACTCGCCAGGGAATTACTGGCCGTCAGGTTCTGGCTTACATGCCTGAATCCCACGCCATTGTGGGCATTCCACGTCAAGCACTTGACCCTCGCCGTCCCGTTGGCCGCGACCCCACCGCCGCTGAACAGGAAGCCGAAGGTCTTATGAAGTACTGGCCCTCTTTGGAGATCGATCCACGCTCTATCGTGTCCCACGAGCGTGATATCATTGGCATTAGGGACATTGTTGCTGCTCCCGCCATTGTCGAAAGCACCACTCTTGTTGTTGCCTACGGTGTGGACGTGTTCGGGACCAGAGTGGCTCCAAGCGGCGTGTTTGATATTCTCGGAAAGGGATTTAACAAATTTACTCTGATTCTTACTGTTCTTGCTTTGTTTGGAGGCGTGATTTTCTTGGCGCCTATGGTAAGTTCTTCCGCTTCTTTGTGATTTAAATTCGAGCTAACACGTCTGGGATGCAGGTACGAAGAAGCCAGATCAACAGACAGTGGGGGGAGTAATGGGTATCATCCAAAAAGGGCATTGACATGAATGAATGGGTAAATGGTTGGGTGGGTGGGTGGTTTCATAAACAGCCAGTGATCTTTGTATAGTACAAGTAATGCCCAGCAAGGAGCTGGATCAGATCTTCTTTTTAGTTTATTTATGACGATAGCGGCAAGAGAATGGCCCATTATTGCACACATAGTGAATTCGTTGCCGGCCGTGGCACGTCCCGACTTGTATACGAAACGTATCCTCCAGTCCTTGGAAAACCAAACAGCTCGCGACGCGGTCGTCTTAAGGCATTGGTTGTGACACGTCTTGACGTTGTCGAGTTTAGTCTGCTAAACTCTATCACCAGCTGCATATTGCCTAACGAGGATGCCATGTCGGGATTAACAAATCCAACTGCGAACATAACACGTGTGTCCAATCACTGTGCTCCAAGTGAAGGTTTAGTCGAGAGGAAACCTTCGTGAGTCCACACCATGAATACGAGATTCTGGAAAAGGAGGAGATGATCGACTTAAACACAAGCCTAGACTCGCGTCTTAGTCGCGACTACAATAACATGAGATGAAGTATAAAAATTCATGCTGAGGGCATCAAAGGGGCCTTCCATGTGAACCGTAGAAAACGTGCTTGAGCAGATAGATCACACAATCTTTGTGGAAGCATAATTCCCTGCTCCCGAACACATCAACCCACGATGAGGTTCACCGTACTTGCCGTTGCGGCTTTGACAACTCTTACCACCGCTCTTCCCTCCCCCCCGGAGGACAAGAAGCACCACGTCATCTTCTCACCCGTCGGTGCCCCCCACCATCCAGAGCACAAGCTTGGGCATCTTGGAAAGCCCCGGGAGGGGAACGTCGAGGTGCTGCCTTCTGCCGACGGCGACAACTTCAAGGTGATCAAGATCAGTCCGGACCACCACGGCAAGCCGGCCCCGGGTCCCATCAAGCTCGAGTCTCGGCCGTTTAAGATTGATCACAAGTTCGACAACAAGGGGGATCATAAGCACGACCACAAGCCCTGCTGCCCGTTCGACAAGCACGACCACAAGCATGATCACAAGCCCTGCCCCTATCATAAGAAGATCGAGTACAAACCTGACGATAAACCGTGCCCATTCCATAAGATCGAGCACAAGAAGGAAGATAAACCGTGCCCGTACCAGAAGCCCGAGCACAAACACGAGCCTAAGCCGTGCCCATACCATAAGATCGAGCACAAGCCCCTCGACAAGCCCTGCCCGTATCAGAAGCCCGAGCACAAGCATGAGCATAAGATCTACCCCATCCCGAAGCTCGACAACAAGCCCGACTGCAAGAAGGAGCACAAGCCGGAGCCCCCCAAGCCGGAGCATCCCAAGCCTGCGCCTCAACCTACGCTCGAGGGAGAGTGCAGCCCAGGAATCTACGAGTGCACATTCAACCCGAGATCCGGCTCTGCCGGCTGGAAGGTCTGCAGCTCGAGTGGAAAGTGGGAGGTATGTTGACGTTCCATGTTTCCTGAAAGCCCACCCGTCATTGAGCCTTCTTAAAAAGAAGATGATCCGCTAACGAGAATTGTATTGTAGTACGGAGGAGACTGCCCCCCGAACACGGTATGCAAGTATTATACGCCTAGCAAGAGCCCATACTGTGTTCCTAGGTACTTTGAGTTTCCATAGATGCTCTCTGGGCCAGCACAAGTGGAAGCAGATCAGGTACACAGCTTAAATCGAGGAGACCAAGAGATCTGAAGGACTGATTACATCTGATAATTCTAATGTTTGAGAATTTGATGCGTATTTGTTTAAGATTCTGTACCTAGATTTCTGGATATAAGAATCGAATGCAACCAAATGTATTCCAGACTGTGTCTGTGATAGAGCTGTTGCCTACATACCTCGGTATGTGGAGAGATAGCCCAAGCGCTCCTTGTGAGTTTATACCAGAAAAAAAAAAACGAAAGAAAAGGAAAAAGAAAAAGAAAAGGGAAAGGGAAAGGGAAAGGGAAAGGGAAAGGGAAAGGGAAAGGGAAAGGGAAAGGGAAAGGGAAAGGGAAAGGGAAAGGGAAAGGGAAAGGGAAAGGGAAAGGGAAAGGGAAAGGGAAAGGGAAAGGGAAAGGGAAAGGGAAAGGGAAAGGGAAAGGGAAAGGGAAAGGAGAAAAGGAGACCAAACAAGCAGAAACAAAACGCAAGACATTAAATCACGGATGCCTCTAATTAATCGTAACGAACATGAAAAAGACCTAGCATTCTCCCTTCCAGTTGTCAGAAATCCACTGTGACAGTTTGGAGGTGAATGTTCCCTCCATGTAGATCTCAACATCCTTATCATCGTAGTCGCCGCCACTAAGCTTGAGCGCGGGGATGATCCAGGGCTGAACAAAATCAATGAAAACAAGATCGACCGTCTCAGGGTCTTTGTTGTCTGGAGGGAATGCAATCTTTGCTTGGAAGGCGTTTGGTTGGGGGTGGAAGGGGAGCTTCTCATGGATAGTATCATCTCCGTCATCACCAATGTCATCACTGGTAGTGAGTCCACCAATAAGAGGTTTCTCATCATCTAGCCTGTTGAGAGATTTCTGTTCGCCTCGTAATTCAAGATTGACATCCTGGACGTCTTCGGTGAAGGAGACAAGGGGCGAGAGGAACATCTGCTCAGGGATAGCCATGAACCTATTTTCGGGGACCATGTCGAGAATCCGACCTCCCGAGTTCAAGAGCTTGATCACATTGCTCGCAACTTTGTATGGGACATCCGGGACATATCTGAAGCCGCTGACAAAAGGGCTTACGATGTAGGTAGTGTCTCGGGTAAAGGGGCCCTTAAAGATGTCAAAGCGGATACCTCCAGTGTTCATGATGGTGAGTCGAGGTTTGTCTTTCCGCTCTTCATTGACAACAACCCCGGGAAAGACCTCGTTTTCGATGAAAGTATAGAGGTTATCCTCTGACCCGTGCTTGGCACGGCTCATCCAGTAATTCTTCGGGGCACAACCGTACTTGTGATCGAGCTTCAATGCTTGGCGGGCACTGTCAATCATGCTGCTGACGTTCTGGCCGTGGGCTGTGGGGAATGTTGATTCGTTTAGACCTGTATGGTGGTACATGCCGTAGAGATTGTTGTCGATGTATTTGCGGTGGAAAGAGACGGACTTCTGTGTTGAAACCTCGTCCTTGTTTTTCTTGTTCAGCCCATCGACCGACATCCAACCAATAGTTTCCATGTACCGTCCACTGGCCATTCCGATTGAAAGAGAGTCGTACTTTCTGGCATCACGAACATGGGCGTGGCCACCGAAGAATACAACAGGTGTATCCCAGTCTGCCTTGCGAAGCTCTGTGAATATGATTCCAAATTCCTCCATGCGCAAGCCGACGTGTCCGGTAATCACGAAGATATCTGGCCTCTCCCTGATAGCCTTTTGAAACCATTCCTCTTTGATAGTCTGCCTAACGGGTTGCACAGCGGTGTTCTTGTTGTTGCCGGTGAAATCGAAGATGAAGCCCATTGCAAGGACCTCGATCTTTTGATTCTTGGTTGTGAACTTTCGGTAGCGCGGGGCCATGGGTGTTTGATCGCCAGTGTTTAAGTCAATGTAATCGAGGTTGGAAGCAATGTAGTTGTTGGGGTAGTTGCGGGTGGTTGTGTTGTGTTCCAAGTCGGCCGAGTAGACCTGGTATAGCTCGTGGTTGCCTGTGGTCATGATGTCGACATCGTGCTCGGCGTAGATGTCGTATTGGTAAAGGCCTTTGGGACTGGAAGCGTCGTAGAGTCCGTTGCCCTCGATGCGATCGCCAGTGTCGACGAAGAGGAGGTCGGCACCCTTCTCGTCGGCCTTCGCACTCATGTGGTGGGAGAAGGAGATGAAGTCTCCCCAGTCGCCGGAGTACTGAGGTCTGGCGATTCTAGGTTAGCACGCAGTGGGAATTTATCTTTCATATCGCTACTCACTCCTGGAAGTGACCCCCAAGCCATCCGTGGGTATCCGTCGTATGGATGAAGTTGAGCTGGCCCCAAGTCAAGTTCCGCATCGGAGCCTTGACAGGCGCGACAGCACCCGGCTGTGCGGCGCGTGCAACAGCAGCGATGGACGCGCCAACTAAATAGTTGTAGAGAGTCATGATGCCGCCAAACTGATTCCCGTACAGTTGATGGAAGGGAGGAGTTTGGACGATGGTGGCGGATGGCTCTAGCTGTCTCCCTTGAGCTCTCCCGCTAGCTTGTGAAGGCTGACGGCTGTCCAGGTGACATCATTTGGTAGCGAATCACGGGGCGCGTAAGGGTTCACTCAGCCTCGGACTAATCGCTGAAGCCCCTGTTGCTTCAGGCAGTCACGGCGGGGTGGAGCCTGCCTGGACCATCCGGGTACCTGGCCGATCACGGCGGCTAAACGGTTGCCGTCCGTCCGCCTCAAGACTTCAACCAGTCTAAGACGGAGGCCAACCGCCTTGGAACGTGCTCCGCTATCTACACCGTTCTACGAGCTCCCTAGCCAACGCCTTCGCAGCAACTATGGGGGAGTCTCCCCGAGGCCAAGGCATGCGTCACATGTGCAGTACAACCATGCAGCTCCCCAATGATAATCAGGGTCGGTGCTGGGGTTTGTAATCCAATCCAATCACTGACCTGGCCGCTCTATCTCCTCATCCCACCCTGCTATGGAAATATGACACGTATCCAGGTATCCCCGGGGAACTCGAGAGTCTGAGTCTGGGGGCATGTCCTTTGGGCCACAAATTAACCCAGGGGAAGCACGCCCACAAACGTCCTCATGGTCCAGACATTACGGCGCGCACCTAGCACATGACTGAGGCAGATTCTTGCCTCATGGGTAGCTGGTATCGAAAGCTCTTCGCTGCCACAGATATGATGTCTTCTGGATAGCCAAAGACGGGGTCAATATGATCTTCCGGGCAGCGGCGCCTGCCGTGAGCAAGTTCGTGAAGCCATTGGATTCTGCAAGTTCGATGCATTCATCATGTCTGCAGAAGACTGCCATCTCGTGGGTCTGTCGATATGCAGGCACTTTACAACTCACATAGTGCAGATGAGCCAGCGAAGCCTGACTTTGTGCAGCCGCTTCCTGCTCATTATATGTCAGACATCATGTATACACCGCTATTCTAGCCTGGCATTGGAAGCCGCCCGCAACTGCGTGACCCAAGGAGGGGTTACGAATGGGCTTTGGACTGTAACAAAGGGGAGCGAAAAGTTCCAACAAGAAGCAGGCGGCCGGCATTACATCCCAGGCATTCTGGCTGAAGCGTGAGCCAAGCGCTGCTATTGCATGCTAGGACTAGGCACGGAAAATGCATAAGCGAAGCCGCCTTGGAAGTGTTCGTGTCCGTCAGCCATTCAAGGTTTTGGGAATAATGGGACAGTCTGCTGAACTGGCAAGCAGATGAGGTGCATCCGCAAAGCCGATTGATCAATGCGATGACCGTTGAATGGATCCACTCACACACGATGTGTTGTCTCCCTCCTGGCCGGCTCCTGTTTGGTGCTGCCGGAATGCTTGGAACAGGTGTGAAAGCCGGGGTGAGTGGGAGTTGTTCTGGAACACCCGCAGAATGGCGATGCCCGAAACCTCCTCGCTGCGACAAGCCGCCACATCAGTGCTATGCATTGGTGATGAGCATATGAAAGTGCCTCATCGACTGACCCTGTCCATGAAGTTAATGCGATTGAATTCTTATGCACATTCCCCGAGCGGATCATTGGAGAGAACAATCTAATCATCCCAACATTTGGCATTTTAGGTGCGACTGTGTAAGACATGGTGGAATGGATCCTACTAAGCCCTGCGTGCTCTTTGGTTCCCGTTTGACAGCTTTAGAGCGACGGGAGCTGCGGTACTAGGGTGTAGATCATTCTTCACGGAGATTTTTATGGCCTGTTTTCTCCATTTGATTGCTTTTCGAACCCTTTGTCGGGGATCGCAATGGGGGCGAGTTGCTTTTTCCGTGGGTTTCGTGGAGGCATTGGTCGGACACGTCACAGATGCTATGTCATGCCAGTTGGATTAGCGTCTGCTGGCCCAATACAACACAACCCCAGGCTGAAACCCTTGATCTGAGCAATGGCGGCGCCTGTTGAGCGGCCCTCGCGCGCATAAGGGGTGGTTGGGCGCCAATTTGCTTCCTCGCCCATCCCTCGGACAGTCATGCCATGTGATGTTGGGAACCGGGCCTGTCTGGAGGGCTCCTTGCAACGTGTGCGCACCGACAGTCATGGGAGCACCTCTGACCGCTTAGGATGGAAATGCTGCAATCGCCAACTAACTCTGCCACTCCTTTCCTCTCACCTTGACTGAAGATACCCGACATCGACCATCACCGAGTCCGCAGGGTGGCACTCACCTTACCCAGGCCATCGGCCGATACTACGCTCCTTACCTACTCCCACCTACGACTTGAGGTGGTGCTGTTTGTTACACCTTCTACCGAGATCGCTAGATTGATCGGCTCCAGGGTGCTCAACAGCACTGACTGTCTCTGCCTAACCAGCCCCGATGGCGGTGGTGGGGCAGTCTCGGGCCGTTGCGCCTAGCCCAGCCCCAGGCGACGCTTCAGGCGGTCACAGAGCACGCTCCTCCACGTCCAGCGCTGGCCACAGCAACGAGCCCGGAGTCATAGTGATTCTCCCTCCGATGCCTCCCGAAGTACCACTGCCACTACGTATTTTCCACAACCTTCCCAGCTCAACCACCATCGGCTCATCGACAGTACAGCCTCAGCCTTGTGCTATCCCTCATCCCCAAAATGACGACTTTGTCCGCCGGCCGGACTTGGTCGAGCAGCTTGACACCCTCCTTCCAACCACTTCAGAATTCAACAGTGCAGCCCTTTGGGGCCTCGGTGGCTCTGGGTATGTCTTCGTCCAACCAACCTGATCCTGTCTCCTAGAGCCCCTACTAAACGGAATAAACACATACATAGGAAATCCCAGCTTGCCCTAGACTATGCCTATCGCAGACGCCAGGACCCCGAGTGCTCGATTTTCTGGGTGCACGCAGATAATGAAACCACATTTGTTCGAGACTACCAAATCATCGCCAGGGAGCTAGGCATAGAACTAGGCTCTTTCGGCAATATCGAAGACGTCCTGCTGGCAGTGCGCGACCGTATTGAGGCCCTTCCCTCATGGGTCCTTATCCTAGACAGCGCTGATCAGCTTTCTGTCTATGGTGTTGGACCTGTGGCCAAGGCTCATAGTCTGTTTAATTACATCCCTCGGGGCCGAGGCGGGACCCTCCTCTGGACTAGTCGTGATGGGAATATTGTCGGAACGCTTGTTAACCCATACAGGGGTGTCGAAATCAAGGGAATGACGCTGAATGAAGCAGTGCGACTTCTGGAACTCACAAGCCAGAGGTCCATTCACTCGGCGGAACACTCGGCGGCTACTGTCCTGGTTGACAACCTGCAGCGACTCCCTTTGGCCATTTCACAAGTTGGAGCATATATTCAGCGGAGGCAGCGGCCCATCAGCCGAGTCGTATTCAAATTGAGCAACGAGTCTTCTAGGTGGCGCATCCTCAAAGAACCCGAAGCGAGACGACAGTTCCCCAGGCCAGGAGTTTTGTCTGGTGTCCTTCAGACATGGAATGTTAGCATGCGACGCCTTCGGTCGGAGAGCGAGGTAGCATATCGAATTCTTCACATTCTGGCATTCACTGACGGCCAGCGGATACGTTTCGGCATCATTGCGGCAGCCGGGATAGATTTCTCTCAGGACGACGTCGCTGACGCTCTTCAACGTTTGGTCGATTTCTCCTTTCTAAGGCCACTGGACGCGGACGGAAATTGCTACGAGATGCATATCCTTGTACAAGAGGCCATTCGTTATGGCCTCAGGCAAGGCCATGACCGACAAGATGAGCTATACTTCTCCAACATGGCGCTACAGACCATCATCAATCTATTTCCAGACCCGTTTGGTGATTCTTGGTTCGAATGCGAAAACTATCTGACCCATGCCATGTGTGTAAGCGAATGGGCAGAACTTTGTCAAAAGGAAGTGGAGGTATCCGATCTACTCCAAGACGTGTCCAGCTATCTCATATGCAGCTGCAGATGGAAGGAGGCCGAGCTAGTTCTTACCAGAGCATACACCCTTCGGTCGAGGCTCCTCGGGGGGATGCACACAAAGACCCTCGACAGCATGGAGCGCCTTGCTGGCGTCTACTATGAGCAAGGTATCTATGACAAAGCGGAAGAAGTTGAGGCCAAGGTTTTCGACTTACGGCAACGGATTCTTGGCGAGACACATCCGGATACCCTGTGGACTAGGGGACGGCTCGCTACCATCTACGATGTGCTTGGCCAGCACGACAAGGCAAGGGAAATCGGCCTTGCCGTGTTCCAAACGCGCCAGAATGTGCTAGGAGATAGACATCCTGATACAATATGGGCTTTGTCACAATTGGGCAATACATATCATCAGATGGCTCAATACGGCGAGGCGGAGGAAATCGAACTGAGGGTCCTGAGACTGAGGCGGGAAGTCCTCGGCGAGAAACACCCATCGACTATCTGGACCATGGCCAAGCTGGGGATGATATACGACCAGCAGGACCAGCACGCTAAGGCTGAAGGAATGCAAGTTCGCGCTCTAAAGCTCGGGCAAGAGGTGCTTGGGGAGTCGCATCCACATACCCTCACCGCGCTGTCGGAACTCGGTTTGACGTACATTCACCAAGGTAGAGTGAAAGAGGCAGAGAAACTGCTGTCTGAAGTCCTAGAGCGCCGAAGAAATGTCCTCGGCGATCACCACCCAGATACCATCATCACGATGCGACGGATGGTTGCCATTTATCATCATACAGAGCGGTTTGAAGAGGCCGAGAAAATGGAAGACGAGATATCGTCATTGCAGGGGGAAACGCTAGCGGGTACAAGCTCACAGGGCGAACCTAAAGCAGACCTTGCCTCGATCTTCATGATGAGCGGTGGTCCTCGGGGCGATACTGATACTCCGCCCCCAGTGATCGATTTGAAGCCTAAGCCTTCGATCCGAAGTCGCCAAGCTGCGCAGCACCCAAGCCCACACGCGCATACCGTTGCTGCCTCGCTAAAGCCCAAGCCTTCGATGTGGAAGCAATTCATTTGTCTCGGGCGGCAGTTGTCATTTAAGAAAAGGAAACAGTCCTAAGGAATCACAGCACACTGGAGAAGGTATAATGAGTTACGGCAATGTTTTTTTCGTCGTGGCGTGTATTCATTTGTATTTAAGACAAGGGTTTATTTGATTCAACTAAATGGAACAACACGGCTCGCATCAAAATCCGGGGTCCCGATAGAAAGCAAGAAGAAGTCGAAGAGCTACACCCCGCGAGTCAGTCACCCAACTCACCTACAAAGGACTGACTCCCTCAGATGCCATGCTTATTTTCCCTATTACCCGTCGGCTTCAAGAGAGGGACCCTCCTGCCGTGCGCCACACTCTAATTGGTGCAAGAATACTCCAGAAGGTGTTCGGCTCTCCCGTCACCAGGGCCTTTTGGAATTTACCTTTGCATGGAGTTCGGCAACTGCCAGCTAGGCCTCTGGAGTACTATTACCACCCGCGCCTCATCTCTCAAGTGTTACATTGATCGGGCGAACTGTTGGGGCAAGGTGCTCGTCTGAACAATGCGAGTCATAGCCGATGAAACCTCAGACTCGAACATGGCTGCTCGGGAACCCCACAAAGTGCTCGACCCCGCATGAAGGACGCTCGCTCCCTGTCAGGACTGTCTTTCATAGATGAGCAATAAGCGACTTTCTTGCGAAATAAGGTGCTATTATCTTAGTTCATTTTTCAATCACCTTGCGATAGAGAGATGAGAAATGAAGTCGGATGAAATGCTGTTCAACAAAGCCTATCTGTGAGTGGTAACTCTCATTAGAGTCACAGGCATCATATAAATGATTATGAGGCGTGGTGTCAGTAGAAAAGCGACATTCCTGACATAGGTCCGTCATCGCCGAGGGGAAGAAGATAGAAATTTGCAAAAAAAAAAAAAAAAAAATCCATCAAGCATGGGGGTTGGTCTTTTATTCATCTTGCTATTTGCCATAAAGTCGGGTTCATCAGATGCCCAATCCTTTTGCCCCTCTAGTCCATCGGTACAGAGACAGGATCTGTCTCCGAGCCGCCTTGTGCTCTTCGCGCCCCGCGGGACTCCCTCCACGAACGCTATAAAGTGTCGATCGAACGACCCTTCTAAAGTTCCTCTGTAGGACGGGCCCGGTTAGCACTTACTCTAATAGATACCCGCGTTGGAAAATGGAAATACGTACCTGGAATTCCGTGCTCAGCGTCACCACGCACACCTCGTGAGCACGGATGATGGTCTCGCACGCCTGCTCGACGCTCTGGTTCGGCCCGAGCTGGGGCATGCGGTCCGCGAAGAGCAGGAGGATGAAGCTCCCGTGGAGGAGGTAGATGCCGAACAGGTACGGCATGAAGTTGAGCTCCGGGTCGAGCTTGATGATGTCCGAGACGGCCTCGGAGGCGGCGATGGCGTGGGAGGCGCACTCGGCGAAGCGCGGGGTGGTGATCCAGTCGTCGTCGTTGTCGAGCATCTTGATGGGGTCCCAGCCGCCGTGCAGGAGGACGTGGAGGACGTGGAGGATGAAGGTGCTGTACGCGACCACGAGGGTCATGTGGGACCGGTCGCCCATGGCGGTCGTGGGCTCGCGGACGAGCGGGCGCCTTGAGGAAGCAGAGGAATCCTGGGGGTTGAGGCCTGTGACCAGGTTGCTGATGTGCATGGGCGTTCCTGCGGCGCCGCTCTCGAGCTCGATTTGGTGCGCTAGTCTCTCGAGGCTGCCCTCGCAGTTTGCAATGGTGTTTTTGATGACGCTCTGGGCGAAAGAGGAATCGAAGTTGCCTAGGCGTGGATGATGCTGGCTGTGATGGGTCTCGATAATGTCGCCCAGAATCACCATGAGGGGAAGGAAATACTCGAAGAACCCGGCACCTGTGATGATGGTAGGCGGGCCAATCACTCGCTGAGGCAGGCTGTGGGGTGGGATCTCGTCAAGGTTTTCCCATACACTCTCAGGCAGAGGGGCTATTGCAAATGTTAGATGGTCTTTGCCAGTATGGATTCTTTCTCAAGGGTCTTTACTGTCAACTAACATACCGTAGACGTCACATATCGAATCGGGGATCTCCAATGTCCGGTTAAAGGAGAGCGCAAGGTGGCGGTCTAAAGCAAATAGAAGCCAGAACACTCGTCTTTTCTCCTCCTTGGCCTCGGCATCTGCCAATGAAGCTGTAGGTGTTGGGCCCAATTCGGGGTCCTGGGAGGCATCTAGCTGATTAAGACGGAGAGTCATGGCCAGCCGTCGAGCTTTGCTCCACCACTTGTAGCTATCAGACTTGAAGTCCGAGGCGCTGACACCAATACATAGCAAAAGAAATGTCAATACATCGTCAACATCACCGACGGGTTCATTGCTCTCGGTCGTATTGGGCATGGCATGGTCAGGAATAGTCTCTTGCCATTGCTCGTTCTCTGTTCGTAGACCGCCTAAGGGGGTTAGCTTGAACACGATGCCAGGTTGTGAAGACAAAAGGTCATAGAAACTGCAGGAGCCTACCATGGATACGGCGCCACCGATCTGGATCACGTCTGGATATCAGGAAAGTTGCCAACTCGTAAAGAGCGTTGGTAAGATTCGCACGAGACCCAGGAACCAGAAGGGCAGAGATATCAGCAGTTTGCGCGCAGCACCAAAGGATGGTGGCCAAGAGGGCCGGTGATGTTTGGCGCGGGCTTGTGGGGTGAAACAAGGATTTTTTGCGGAATATACGGGTTAAGATGTATGGTGACGCGCACCGGAAAAGAGATGTGCCCGGGTCTACAAGAAATATGTCGACAAGATCACATGCAAGTGATGGTGAGAAGACGGGAGTGAAGTATGGCATCAATGGGTCCAGGCATCGATACCGACATTCTGAAGCCCATGTATCTTGAGGAATACCAAAATTTGGCTCTCCGTGTAAAGGCTTCGGGGTTGGCAGGGTGAAGTTGAAGATGGGGCTGGAGGCTACTGAGGGTATGCTATGACGGTGCTGGGCTGGATTCCGGGTGGCTTGGGCATCGTTTGGTGTGGTAGGTTGTGGGCAGCTCGTCACTATGCGTTCTAACCCATTAGGAGCAGGTGGTTGCCGTTGTTGCCCTTGGCAGGAACTTCCACGGGTGGGCTGGATGTTGAGGGCTTCTAGAGAGAATGTGTCTCCCGGAGGTGACCCAAGAGGGAGGGAAGTAATGGAAGTGGCTGCGTGACTATGGGTTTGCCTCTGAAGAGAGTGTCTCCTGTAGCTCTCTACTGGAGATATATGGTCTTCCTCTTGCTCCGTGGGGGATGGAAACTGGTTTTGGGAATTCTGTGTGTCAGATGGGGGCGTATCAGTTATACTCTTGTTGGCAGCCGTTTCCGAGACTCGATCCAACTTGTCACTCCGTTTTGCCCTGCCACGTTTTTTAATCTGCCTGTCGTAATGACAGGAGTACCCATAGTCTGAAGCAGGATTGGTCAGTCAAATCAGCTAGAGTTACACGAGATCGAGTGTTGGGTGTCGGTTCAACGGAACAGATGCAGGAGGACAAGCAGTGATACGCTAACAGAACCAATAACGACCCGGCCCTCTGCGGGGGAAAGATATATGTGACTCTATGCACAACATACCTTGACATCTTGAACTAAAGGGAATATAAAGTTGATCAGCAAGGGTAGGTAATTACACCGAGAACGACGGAAAAGGACGATCTATGGCAGGATCACATGAACATAGAACAAACGTTTCTCACCATGGATAAAGGCCGTCACATCTAGTTCGAGACGAGCTGCACTTATCACAAGCCATTCTCGTTCTCTTCCTAGCCCTGGCATGGGCGACATGCGAAACTTGGTCCTCAGTGCCCGAAATAGGCGGCCAGGGATGGCTCGCCTGTGGTGGGGAATGGGCCATGGTCATGAGCAGGCGGATTTAGCTGACACAATGAAGGCAGTGGCAATTTGCAATTGGGTGATTTGTGGAGCTGGCTTGTGTCTCGGTTCGGTTGATACAGATGATAATGCAAGGGGCCGAGGGTTCGGTGATAGACCGACGGGCAGTATGTATGTTGTATCACGATACTGATGCCGCCCACGAGGGAGTGAGGGTCAGCCAGCAGGCAAGCAAGCAAGGAAACGAGTGCTCGGTCTGATTTTGCCGTCGGGCTTTTGAAAAGGCCATCTAGATGGGGCGTGTTCGAAGGATGGGATCGTGAGTGAATAAGTAGGATGAGTGGGCAGTTGGTGTAAGGCGCTGGGGAATATTACCACCTATGACAGGCGGGGGAGCTGTCTCCAGGCGGAGAGGCCAGGCCCACCCGCCCCAGAAACAGCCCTGTCCAGCCCCTCAAAAACCCCGGAAGCCCCCTGGCCAGCTGCTGGCTAGCGGACGGGATTTCGGGAGCACAGAGCACTTGGCCACTACCCGATCTCAGCACTCTGCTCCCATGGAAAAGCTTTAGTAAGAGCCCAGCGTCGCATTCTAGTCAAAATCGGCTGCCAAACGGACACTGCCGACCGGACTGTGCAGCCCATGAGGTGTGATGACATGTGACTGGGCTGGCTATTGGCTGGCCATATGTCAATGCTCCGTCGTCTGCTGCCGTGCCATCTTGATGTCCATACCAACTTGCCGCCTTGGCTTGTCTTCCCGGCTGCTCCTGCCATCTCGTATCCGCAAGTGCCGTTCCTAAGGTAGGTAGATAAAGACCATGGAAATACACTAAACGTCTCCCACTACCCTGATCGCCTCATACTGCACCTGGCAACGTGCCATGCCGTGACATCTTTGTTGCATATGCCTGCCTACCTACCTACCTAGTGTAGCTAGCCACCAGATCATCCGCGAGGTCACCGGGCCAAAGAGGACTGTCCATCAATCCCCCCGATCGGAGAGTCTTGCAGCGAGCGGGATTTCTTGCCAACATGCCCCCCTAGGCCTGAGAACAACACCCCCAGGGTTCAATTCTCTCACCTCACGAGGAAAAAAGCCAAATGCTTGACTCGTAGCTCAGGTCAAACGATGGACTTGGCGATTCACGCTCAGCTGCCATTCTGTCCACTAATTATTAATGAACCCCGCCGCTAACACTGAGCTTATCCACCCGGCTATATGCCGATTATGGATCTTGTGGGAAGCTTCAAGCAACGCTCTTCACCCGTCGGGAATTTCTGCCCGCTGGCCCTCCAGTGTCACTGAAGAATATCACTTTCCGCGACGGAACCAGAAGAGATGTTCGAAAGATTGGCTCATCTCGTTGATCGGGTTAAATCAAATTCCATCATGGCAGGGAAGGATCGACTGCTCTGCTCTTCCCATGCCCAGTCATATGAACCTCGCATCATCCCCAACCGTCTCTCCAGACCCTCGTGCACCGCTCTCAGCTAGCTAGAGCCATTCCTCCCACGCGCTCGCTACCCTCCATTCCATGTCCTCCGGCAGCACCAGCAGCATAATGGGGCTTTCCAGCAGCAGAGACGCGGCCCAACCCGCCTCACCGGCCTCGGAGCCCGTGATTGTCCATAAGCCTGCCACAACCAGTCACCACGTCGCCGCCGAGACCCCCCAGCAGCAGGCGGCACCAGCCTACCCGCCCGTCTTAAAGGGAAAGGTGTACGCCATCACCGGCGGTGCCAGCGGCATTGGCTACGGCACCGCCCAGATGCTGTCCTCCAGGGGCGCCACGGTGTGCATCGCCGACATCGACCCCAGGGCCATGAAGGCGGCCGAGGACTACTTCACACAGCAGGACGCACCCTTCATGATCTCGCGGGTCGACGTCTCCAAGAGGGCGCAGGTGGACGCCTGGATCGACTCCGTGATCAAGGAGTACGGCCGTCTGGACGGCGCCGCCAATGTTGCAGGCGTCATCGGCAAGGTGCATGGGCTCACCGCCGTCGAGGATATGGAGGATGACGAGTGGGACAAGATCATTGCCGTCAATCTCACCGGCACCATGTACTGCATGCGCGCCGAGATTCGCAACCTCGTCCAGGGCGGGTCCATTGTCAATGTCAGCTCGATCCATGGCGTCAGGGGCTTCGCGCGGCACTCTGCCTACGATGCCAGCAAGCACGGCATCATCGGCCTCACAAAGGCCGCCGCCCAGGAGGTTGGTGACCGCGGCATCAGGGTCAACGCGGTCGGGCCTGGCTCCATCTACACGCCGCTGATGCAGAAGGAGTGGGATGAGAAGGGCTTGAAGGAAGGGCCCGAGGCCACCTCAAGTGCGATCCGACGGTATGGGACTGTGGAGGAGACGGCGAGTGTTTTGGCGTTTCTCCTCGGCCCCGAGAGTTCTTTTATTTCAGGTTCAACATACATGGTCGACGGGGCCTGGAGTTGAGTGGGGGGTAAAGACAGGGATGGTTGGCAATGATCGCATCTAGATTCTTTGTATACACATATTCATAAACAGGTACAGAGCGAGTCATCGGTTTTCTTTTTTCCTTTTTCTTTTTCTTTTCCTTCTTTTTCCTTTCCTTCTTTTTCCTTTCCTTCTTTTTCCTTTCCTTCTTTTTCCTTTCCTTCTTCCTCCTTTATTGTCTCTCTCTGTCATAACTTACACTGGAAGATTTCGAATAGGCAGTATTACACTGACTGAATGATGATATGAATATAGTATCTAAGACTGCCCGTCATGTACTTGGTGCAAGTTAAAGGATGCAGGGCAAACACATATTCTTGCCCATACTAAATCAAGGGTCCAGGCTCACCGAGTCCGTTTCCGGTCACTCATCAAGGTAAAAAGAGCTCTAGCCACGGAACTCGGGCTTTTGGACGAGGGCCCCGGGACAATTCGGCCCAGTGAGCCGCCAAGACTGAATGGAGCTACGAAGTCCGCTCATCAGGTTTCTACTCCATCACGCCTGGCTAGTCCCCATCCAATTAACCTGGCAAATGATCAAGTGTGGCTGCAACCAGGGCCCCGTCGGCCGATATGCTCGGCCACAGGCCGATGCCCAGGGGAAAGGGACAGGGGCATCACGACAGCCGAGCCACTCCTCGAGCGGCCTCCGAGATGATTTTATGCATCATATGCTTCGCAGCTCTCTACATGTGGCGAACATGCGGCCGGTGGACAGGCAGCGCCATTGGCCGTGGAGCTGCCACTGCAACCTTCCAACCTCGTCATATAATGCCAAGTTCTTCCCCAATAATGGCATGACCGCCAGTCAATCAAGCCATGCCGCTCTTGACCCAGTGCATTAGGTTCATGCGGGGAAGACGACATTCCCCTGCCTACATGTACCTTGCCCTCACGTTTCGGTCCAAGGCGACCCGAGAACCACGTCAACACTTCACTTTACCCAGGGTCCGAGCCTTGGAACGAGTGCAAATCCGTCGGTAGCGAAGGCCCTCGAGACCAATCAGGGCCCCCAAAGAACTCGACCGTTCTTCCCTGCGTCCCCACACTCCAGTTGGAATGTCTTCTCCGCAATCCGATATCTGGGGATAGTCCTCCTGAGATGCTGTTCTGGGACTCGCACAACCGAATTGTGGGTAAACGAAGAGGCATGCTTCTGTCCCACAAGTTCGCCGCGATGTCACCATTGCTCTGCGTCTTGGAGAGAGCCTGTCGTCCCATCTTGCTAGGAGTGGGCTCTCTTTTTTTTCTTATTTACTAGCATAGCTCCGAGTGCGGGCGCTGGAGCTCGACGCGAGTTCCTTTTGGCAACTATGTTCTCCAATTCACAACAACCAACACACAGGCGAGTTTCGCAACCACGTTAACGACAATGAGTCTACAAGAGGAATTGGAAAAGGAGTACAGGGAGATCCAGAGGGCCATGGCCAGAAAAACACGGTCAATTAGAAGGACGGACACCCCAAATGAAACTGACGATCACCATGAGGACCCAATTAACCCAGCGCTGTGCAAGTCGCCCACAAGTCCTGGTCCCGGCTTGAGTAGCCCTTCAAGCTCCGTATCTTCACGACGGACGAGAGCGTCCAGCAGCGGCAAGTCTGCTTCGTCCCCCATGTCCCCGGCGTCAAGCTGCTTGAAAGAGCAATCCACATCCCCCGCGACAAGCACCACCAGCCTGCCGTTCTCCTCGACCTGCCCCTCTTCATGCGTCGCCTTCGCCAGTCGGCGGTCTGTCGAGCTCATAAGATTCTTCTTCAACGACTATTCACCTCGTATCGTCTTCACTGGTTTTGCCAGCGACAATGACTGGAGGCAACTTCTCCTTCCTCTGTCCTTCACCAATGAAACCTTCAGGAATGCCATCTGCGCCTTCGTGAGTGCTCATTTGGAGGCCATGGATATCATCACGGGCAAGAGTTCCCTTGATTTCCACAGAGCTGCGCTCCTTGGCCTGTCGTCACAGGTTCACAGTGACTTATCAGATGCCATATGCTCTTTGGCCACTATTCTACTCTTAATCAAGTATGAAGCGGTGAGTGGGCTCTTGATATAGTGCCAATGGCCACACTGAACAGAGAAGCGACTCGTCCTAACAACCCGCTTTGCCTTAGCTCGTCGGGGAGGATGTTTCCAGCATCTTGTCGCACCTCCACGCAGCCAACAACCTCCTTGGGCTTTTCCCAGACATAGAAGACCCAACCATGTCATTTCTCAGACGTGTAAGTGCCCTCCATCTCGCGCAAGCCCTCTTCTATAGCTGACCTCGAATCGAAGACCTTCCAATCCTACGATATCATGATCGCCCTTTCGCAGGGCTGCAGTGCAGTCGCCGACTCCCGACCAATGCCCCAAACCCCTTCCTCGCCCCTTCAGTCCCCTCACCCTCGTCCCGAAAGCCCTCTCGACATCATCGACCAAGTCTACGGCGTCTCAGCCGACCTCTGGTCCATCCTCCACCGGCTATGCGACCTCCGCCCCCTCCTCGAAGAGCTCGCCGCGGCTTCCTCCCCAGAGATGATGCAAGACGGCAGCAACCACCTCAAGGCCGCCGTCCTCCGCGGCGAGCTCGAGTCCCTCTGCGCAGCCACGGAAAAGGCCCTGGCCTCGTGGCAGGCCCCCGCGGCAACCACCCTCCTCCCCAACAGCGCCCACCTCCACCACCACGCCCTCGCCTACCGCGACAGCGCCCTCGTCCACCTCTACCGCGCCGTCTACCTCCTGCCCAGCAGCCACCCGGCCGTGCGCCAGCGGTGCCGCTCCTCGCTGGAGCACTGCGTGGCGGCCGCGGCGCACCCGGGGGCCAAGGCGCTCCTCTGGCCGCTGTTCGTGGCGGCGTGTAGCGCTGAGGGGAGCCAGGGGGACAGGGCGTTCGCGAGGTCGGCGTTCGAGTTCGTCGGGAAGAGGCAGGAGATGGCGAGCACGAAGCGCGCTTGGCTCGTCGTGACGAGGGCGTGGGCGATGATGGACGGCGGCGGCGGCGGGGGGCACAGCAACCCGAACCTGGCGCTGGATGTGTTTCCGATGACGAGGAATTTTGGGAATATGATGAGCAATGCTGTGATGTTATGGTGAGCGCATGTATATATAAACTCGGTAAAAACAAAATGCAAAATGACGAACAAAAAAACCGGATAAGTGAAAGGGGCACAGGCGGCACGTATTGATAATCATCATTAATATTTATAAATTATGTATACCCCGCTCGTTTTAAGTCGTTCTCTAGCATGTAACATAAGACAAGCAAATAGTACCTGCATAGAAATGCAACATTACACGAGCGTCCCAGATCGGTCATCTACTTGTCCTACATACGTCTCAAGGTTTCCCAAGCGGGTATGCAAAAAGACTCGAAGATGAGGAGCCCCCCAATCACTCCCAACTCCATCGCCTAGCCTGTCTACACCCCTCTCTACTGCTGGGCAGGAGCGGGGGCGGTCCCGTTCTCAGTCTCCAGCTGGGCCTGGCGGGCGACGTTGAGAGCCTTGAGCTTGGCGGTGCCCAGTCCGGCGAAACCAGACTCCTGGTTGTCTCCCAGCCACGGCTTCTTGGACTCGCCAAGCATGCTCCCGGAGAGGAAGTAGATGACGAGGCCGATGATGATGCAGACGAAGGCGATGGGGTACATGAAGTGGACGGTGAGGCCGAAGACGTTGATACCAATGATGACGCCCCAGAAGTTGCCGGTGAGCAGGGAGATATTGTAGAAGCTGGCGCTGGCCATGCGCAGGATGAAGGGGACGGTCGAGTAGAAGATGAACAGGCACAGCGTGTAACCGACCAGCCATCCGGCCACACTGCCGTCCCAGGTCGCGCCCTGGAAGGCCTCCCGGTCGAAGATGGCGGCCTGGACGCCGTTGATGATTATACCGAGGAGGCCGATGAAGGACAGGACGTGGTACATGGGCGCCTTGGAGACGAGCCACTCCTCGAAGACGTTGCTAAGGCCGTAGCAAGTGGCGCCGACCAGAGCGAACATGTCACCCTTGACCATGTCGGTGGCCTGGCCAGCGCCGCCGCCGGAGATTTGGTCCGAGGCGATCAGGATGCCCATGCCTCCCATGCAGACGAGGATACCGACGATCTGGAAGATGCGGTAGCGGACCTTGAGCACGAAGAAGGAGATGATGACGACGCAGACAATGGCCCAGAAGTTGATCAGCTGGGCGGACAGGATGTTGGTGTACCGGTAGGCGAGGACGGTGAAGTAGTTGCCCTCGACATCGAGGAAGGACATGATCAGGTACTTCCAACCGTGGCGCCAGGCGACGCGGCCCCATTCCTTGGGACCCTCCTTGTAGAGGAAGATGCCGGTGTAGACGAGGAACAATAAGACATAGTTGAACATGGTCTGGAAGGCGGGGATATTGGTGTTGACGCCGGCAAGCAGACTGGTGAAGGTATTGGTGGAGGTGATGCAGAGCGCAAGGACCTGACCAATGCCCAGGACGAGCCAGAAGTCGGGCGTGGTGAGGTACGAGTACCAGTGGACGGACTTGGACTCGAGGATGTGAATACCCTGGCCGACGGCGGCATTCTCAGCCTCCTGGTGGGCAGCAGTATTCCCCTCAGCCTGGGGGCTGCTCTCGCTAGTCACAATGGGCGACTTGGTATCATCTTCACCCTTGGAGGTCTCGGCGGTGACCGAATCCTTAATGGGTTCTGCGGCCATGGTTTCGTTGTTTTTTTAATCGTTGAACGTAAGGGTATCGAATATATGTTGCGCGATAGGTAGTGTCTGTTATCAGCGCACCAAGCCGTCAGCCAATGGACTCGCCCGCGCATGCCATGGGGAAGTCAATCCAGCAGGAACATACCTCGATCTCAATCGCTATCAGCGGCTAAATAAGGTTTCAAGCGCGCGGGTGCAGCAGCAGCGTCGCGGGCAAATGAAACTAGATGCGATGTATTGGTAGACGGTTATCCAAAGCCAGCTCCGTTGTCGAAGCTCGTTTGGTTCCAGTTAGTAGATCCAAATCTGCTAAGTCTTTCTTCTTCCCCAAAAAGACAGCAAGCGCAAAGACTTCAAGTCGCTTGCTGGTGTTCCTATTGTCTTGTCAAGAACATGCGTCTGCGCCAATGGAGCGCAGAAGTGGTGGTGGTGGAGGTGATCGGCCGAGAACTGAACATGTGCGAACAGGAGGGGTATGCGCCAGAAGTGGCGATGAGAGGCAGGGGACGTGCAGCAACGGCAGCGCAGAAGCGAGAATGTAACGATTCTGGCAGGGTCGCAGAGGAGCAAGGGACGGCGGGGGGGGGAGAGACGAGGAGCACCCTTTTCAACTCGTCGCAGAGCTGGTCAGATGAGGAGGGAAGTTCGCGACTCGAAAGAGGCCAAGAGCAACGGGGACTGAAAAAAAGCAAAACGAAAAATTATCGATAGTAGTCTGATTCGATCCGTGCAATCAGACGAGAGCAAACGACGGTGGCGACCACTAATCGAGCCACTGAGCGACCCACTGGACCGGACCCCTACCAGCGCACCTTCTGCGCTACAGCACACCCTGTTCAGTGGGGGCAGCAGGCACTAACCACTGCTGAGGGAGTCTTTGCCGCCGCGGTGATTGGCGAGCGGCGCGGAGGCGTCCCGCACCGAGAAAAGATCGTCAATCATCTGGGCACATCAACAACCAAGTTCCCTGCCCAGAGATATCTGCTAACCAGAAGAGGCCTGCTGAAGAACAGCTGGGTCAGCCTGCTTGCTGTGGCTTGCCTGCAGAGCGTTGCTTTGGGGAATGCAATGCGGGCAGCCCGTTCACCCACGTTTTTGTCCCGAGGGCTCGACCAATCAGGGGAGAGAAACACGCCAATGTCTAGATCGTTAGTCAAGAATTGTGTCTAATCAAATGGCTGGTGGATCATGTGCAAATTCTTCGGTCAAGATAAAACATTATTCATGATTCATCGGGTAGGTAGTCGGCTTCGTTGTCTAAAAGGGCACTAGCTCCCGAGATTCCTGTACCCACACATGGGTTATCTGTTTCACAACCCCATGGGCAAGCATCACCTTAGAGTCTCTCAAGGCTCCTGGACTTACCATCATTTCTTCGCCCCAAAGTCTTCATCTCTACTAAAAATAGGCTAGACTTGAGATAACATTCATCTAGTATGGCAGAAACTAGATAGCTTTTCCAATATGGCAGCAAGCCCCTGAACTCTCTTGAACCTGACCTGAGCATATTGTTAGACCACGAAAATCAAATATGATACTGCAATCGATTTCCAGCCTATTTACAGACTATCGACGGTTCTAAGAAAAATAAACTCAGGTGTGTCTTGTCTGTGTGGGGGTTAGGCGGCTGATGGTGTGCACGTCGGCTACTCCGTTGATAGGTCACATCGGACGCTCTGTTTATAACATAGCCTGTTGTGGCAACCAGCTGGTATTTATCGCCTTACCTTACCCAATTCACGTGTTCAGAGAATAATCCTAGGTAGAATCTACTTTAGGGAAACTCACTTGCCCAAAATATACATAATACCAAGCTGGGTCTGAATCAAGACTATTGTCAAAGAAGACTCAAGAGACGTAAGGACAATACACAATCAATAATCCTATAACAAAATATTGAAGCTATTTATTCTAAGCCTTTTCTATCAACTATTCTAAACAATCTTGATAGTACATAAGTTGCAAAGTAGTAGAAAAATAATTAAACCGCGTTATATGCGATGGTTAAATAATTTAGGCTCGCGGGATCTTCACTCAAAATTTAAAGAAAGAGCTAGCTTAGTCAAAGGTTTAGTTATTCAAGTACGTGGTGCTGCAGCCCTTTCCGCAAAGATTAGACTTCGTTCTTCAGAGCAGACAGATTTTATCCGCGGCGTATGTGAAGATTCTCTATCTTACAGGTTTCTAAACTACCCTGTAAGCTGCCTGACTATAATTAAACAACTCGACTTCGAGATCTCTAGAAGTTTCTTTCATCTTAAGACAATGATTTTTCAAAGTCATCCAAAGATTCAATCGACTTTTTTGTTTTCTTCAAACATGCCATAATATTCGAGAGGCTTTAGGTTTCCAGAAGCTATGAGCGGTTGCGAAATATCAAATGATCCCAGACCTGGCTTATTCACTGTTTGCCATCATCCGAGCCAGCCCAAACATATGCACCACCTGTGAGGCCGTTCTATGACTATCTCCGCATCTGTTTCGAAAGTTCATGTGAAAAGGAACGGTCATTTCCCAAGTGGGTTGATATCTGGACTTATGCCCATAAGAATCAGCCTTCGTTCAAACAGGAGGCTAGGCAGGTCACAGGAATTATCAGCGGATACAAAAGGAACTTACTTAATAATCCGCGATTTAATTATCCTGGTATTGCATATCCTCATCATCGCGATCACAAGATCGTCATCAAAAGGGTGCAGATATTAAAAATGCTAAGACAGTCTTACACGGCTCATCCCTCCGCTCGTTCCGATCAGAGTTTATAATCTTAAACCCAGTCGAGTCATTCTGAGTCACATTGCAACCTTACACACAGTTATCGTCTGAACTTGGCACTTTACACTAAGAACATTCAGCAACTCGGTTGTGATCATCACTTAATGCCACCCCTTCAAACTCTGTGCCGCTCAATTATCGCAAGCAGAGCATATACGAGTCAAATACGTGTGCATCTATCCCTTGCGATAAGTGGCAACGTGATTATCATCACATCCAATATTATCTGTCACATAAGCTTCCACGGAAGGAATCATCTTGTTCTTACAAATCAGCAATGCACAGTGTGACTCCAGACCTTTGGGTTAAGCGAGCCGGCCATCCATACGAGAAGCTAGCCAAGAAGCCAATATTCGCCTCACCTCCAACTTGGAAAGAATGGAGTGATTGGCGTAGATCTATCAAAATGGCCCCCAACTCCTACCTCTCTCCAAACATGTACCTCAGACTCAAAGTCCGCCATGCGGTATCAGTTTTCAGGTCCCAACGGAAAGTAATGACATCTTTCCCTCCGCCAGCCATGCCCCCCCCCTGAAATGAGGTGCATAGGCTCAAGGCATACTCGGGGATGACCAAGCAGTTGATCTGCCGTCCAGAAACGGTTCAAGGTGTGGCGAAATTAAGGGTGGCCACCCCGTTGGGAGAACCACATGCCCTAGCGCGCCAACTTGCCTACCCCTTACAGATATCACCGAAGCCATCCTCGGAATCTCCCCTCTCATCCGAGATTATACACAAGGCTAATCACAAACTTGATCCTTCAGCCTTAGAGCTCTCAGCTGGAGTCGGGGGTGCGTGTAAGGCGGCAGTGAGGCTCGTATGCTGATAAATCCAAGGGGAGGGATACGGCACCTGATTCGATACCGTCCAAAATAGTGCTTTTAAATAGCCGCCAATAACGCACCTGGGACGGTAAGAATACGGGGTAGGGTCACGCATCTCTGCCTCATCAATCCTATTAGGCTTTCTCTTATCCACGAGACCCGGCAAGCGCCAGCTGACCGAGTGCAATATTCGCAAGCAAACTCAGAAGATAAGAAATGAAAGGAGGCGGAGGGGGGTAACTAAAATTAGAGGAGTCAACGAGTAAGAAATTCTTTTTGAGAAACCCGATCGGTAATTACAAGAGGTGCGTAGACCGAGGCTTAGTTTCCTGGAAGATGTACCCCCAAGGCCGCGTTACTCGTATTTCGCAAACTCGAGAGCGTCTATTAGGCGGATAACCGCGGACCCCCATTTACAACTCACTTTCGGCCAAGACCAAAAAAATCGGGGTAGGGCTAGAGAAATCTGCCGTCAGCAGGAATTTCATGGCCCGGCTCCGGGTGTAACCTTGGGGCCCTGGGAATATGCCTTCCTTGACTTCACGAGACAGGACAAGGGTGTCGGTGTTATTCTAACCAATAAGCTCATTATTCATCATGCTAAAGGTAACGACGCAGGAATACGGTATCAAAACCCCTATAGCTTGCAAAAGAAAATGGCATAATGGCCTCAGAAAAAAAGTAAATGTATCCCATAATAACAGAACTAATCCCAGCTGAGTAGAGAATCAGAAAGCACAAAAAAAGGAGTGAAGTCGAAAGAAACAGTAAATGAGTGGCAGTGAGTGGAGAAGTAACAAAAACTCAAAAACAAAAGCGAAAACGGAATTCGAATAAGGATTGATCGGTCTTGATCGAAAATCCATATTACAATCCGCAGGTACAACAAAAAACTGTCCTATACAAAGCAAAGGAGCCAGCACATCGTGAGAGGTTGGCTTCGCACCACCGATGAGGTCTTTGATTATTGTAATCGATCCATGAAAATCTTGTATAGTCTTGTAATCTGGAAAGCGTCGAGCGATCGTCTATCTGTAGCGTATACCCCGCCGATGGCGGTGTAGTGTTGTCGAAACTGTCAAGGAGATCAGGAGCCCCCTAAGGGACTCCCTCCCCAGCCATGCTAGTTAGAGAAGACTGACTCGCCTTCTTAGAGACCAGACATGGCCGTACGGATAGTCTTCACGATGGCGACGTTCCTCTGAGTGCCATCGCTGGGCGTGCCAGAGCTTTCTATACAGCGAGTTAGTCCAGGGGTTAGAAAACGGCAAAACAGAGATATTATCTGCATCAAAGGGGGAGAGAAGAAGTAATGACCACTTACGATAGGAAGACTGACTTGGCGTTTCGCGGTGGTCTGGGAGGGAAGAAAATTCCTGGGCAAGACGCTGGAGGTATTCCTGGTCTGCCTTGCTGGAGGCGGCGTCTAAGGCGAGTTGTCAGCGGAGACCTCCAGGAGGGAAAGAAAGAAAAGCAACAATATCATACCAGACTTGGACTGAGGCATTGTCAGGTAACCTTTTTCAGAGGGGTTCCGCAGTTATATCAGCAAGTGGCTGCTGATGGTGGTGGTGATGTGGGAGCTAAGGCAGAAAGGCCACTGCAAGAGCAAGACTAGTGTATGGGGAGATCTGGTTTTTTTATCTCTTCCCGATTGGCGGGTTTCTGAAGCGGACTCAGCCCTGGGCTCGAAAGGGGGGGAAGTAGAATCTGGGATTGATTGGTTGGAGTTGTGTGTTTGCTTGAGGGAGTGAAGAACAAAGACAAAGTTTTCTGATTTTCCAGCCGGCTCTCAAGACCTTTATATCCTTCTTCTCGATGATAACCCAACGTTACAGCCTAGAGAATACCGAGCAAAGAGAGCTGAAGCCGCTTCTTGATCAACAGGGTGTATGAGTATGAAGAAACCAAGACCGGGTTCAGTCATGTCCCATCTGTCTATCCAGACCCCAGGGCCATATCAGTCGAAGAGAGCGAGAAAACAGCCCAAAGGAAGGAAGCCAGGGTGAGAATGGAAACGAATTAGGCAATGAAGGAGATCAGGGAGTCACGGCAGCCGTTCACCAAGTAAGCCCGGATGACCCCAGCATGCCCGCCCGGGAGAGGGACCACCCCGAACCCCGGCACACAAAGCCAGGGCTGGATCTGCTCATAGCTGGGCAGGCTAGCTGGCAGCTGGGAGAACCTGGCAGCTTGTCTCCTTGCCCGCTCCAGAGTGCGCGTGCACTGGCGCCCTTGGTGACGGCGGTCTTGGCCCTGTGGAGCGGAGGCGGCTCGCGTGCGTCGTATTTCGTACCGCAAATCCGCGACGCCACCACCTTGGAGCCAGCCCACTCTCCAAATCAGCCTTATGGGGTTAAAAGAGTGCAGAGCACAAGATCATTGGCTTCCGGCACATGCACAGGGCGGATACGGGCGAGAAAAAAACCCGCATAGGCGACAAATGCGAAGGCGGGAGGCAGCCTGGGAGGAGGGTCTTGAAGCGCTAGCGGTGTCTCAACTACACGGTGCCGTTATGAAGAGGGCTCGCAGTCCCATCCAGAAGCGCATCTGCGCTTGTCTTAGGCGGGCTAGGCGATGGCCCAAGCTGTCGGCGGTCTGCTGCCTCTGTCCGGCATTGCTGTGAGTGACTGTTGAGTATCGAACTGGTTGCCCTGTTTGGGGTAGTTCGCGCCAGCCTATCATCTTCTCAGAGCTCTGCGTTGGAGGCATTCTCCACATGGGCTCGACAGGAAACGATGGTCGAGACGAGACGAGACGCGGCGAGCGGGGGTGTGTGGAATGGATGTGTCAATGAGTGCGAGCCGTCTCATGAGACATGTTCCCATGAGGTGTGGTGAGCGAGAGTGAGGCAGCAAATCAGACGGCTGGCAATCAATGGCCGTAATCAGGCAAGCAGGTTGCCAGCTGAGGGCTGAGCAAGGCTCCAATCTGCGACGGCACTCGAGTTGATCTGGCAATATTGAAGGGCTATCAATATTGAAGGGCTATTGCGCAGGCGGCAGTTTATTGGACGCGATGCCTGCTAATGCCACCTGCGAATGCTACCAGGAGCTGGCTAACCGGGCAATTAAGGTAGCCAGGGCCACTGAGCTACAGCCGCTATGCACTACCTGCTACCTGGATGCAGCAGCCAAGACCTCAATCCCACGGCCAGATTGATTGCCGGCCACCAGGAGCCCGTTACCGAGATCCCTCCCTGTCTTTTTACCAGCTATGATTCGTTGTTTATTCTTAGATCGATCGGCCGCCGGCTGAGCCAGTCCAGCTCAGTCCAGCTCAGTCACGAGCGCATCAATATTCACCAGCCGAGGTGCATATTCACCATGAATGCCTGCCAGTAACACATCAAGCAAAGCCCAAGCAGCTGAGAAGAGGAGCGCATTCACCGTCACTAGCGCCAGCTTGCAGGCATCGCCAGTCAGTCAGCCGCCCGGCTGCGTCTGCGTCTGCATCTGCATCTCCGTCCCCCGTTCTCCGTCCCCCGGCTGATTCACACCGGCCGATGGGACCCCTCCCCTCTCCCCTCGCCCAACACACATGCACGCCATGGATGCAGCTAACACCATCCTACCCCAGCTCGACAGTCAGAGTCCTGCGGCACTGCGAAGCAAAGTCTGTCTGAGCTGAAAACCAACAAGGCAGACTGGATCGAAATAGCCCCCACCTCATGCACGCTTCGTTCCCACACACACACACATCCATCCCATCTGCCACGTTTAATGCCAGGCACCACCACCACCTTCCCCCCTCCTCGCCACGGCCTACCATGCAGCCAGCATCCCGGCTCCGCGCTCTTCGCAACTCCGCTCACCTGGCTCTGCCTTGCGCCCTGGTATAACAATGTGTGTGTTCTGTATTATGCTTGCTTCGACCTCATCCCGGGGGCCAAGATGCACTACTAACTGGCTAGTTTTCCAACCCAACCAACCAAAAAACGCCCAGAAAACTCCCCCCTGTTTTTCCCACCTTGTAATATTGAGTACCATTGGAGGAAAAAAAGAAAAGAGAAAAAAGAGAGGGGAGAAAACAAGAAAGCCAGGGGTTCCCCGTAATACAATGATTGCTCCCAATCGCCTATATGATCGCGTGATAATGCCATGCAAGGAACAGAATGCGCATCAAAGAGAGGGGGTATGTCTTGTAGCTCCCAATACATTCATCCATCCAGTCGATCCCAACTCGAAAATAACATCATAATCATCCCACCTGCGTTAGTACAAAGCCCCCTCCACCAAACTCCTTGTCCACAGTTTGTTCAGTTCACTCCTTGCCCGAACCGGAATTGCCCCCGTCATAGTGCATATTGGCAGGCAGACAGACGGGGACGAGTCATACTCGGGGCTCAAAGACGCCATGCAGTAGTCAGGCAGTCAAGTTATTCCTTGCCCAAAGGAGGGGAAGAAGAGGAAGAAGAAAACAATCATTTCCCATTAGCAGGATCCTGCACTGCACGCTCCCCTGTCAGGAGGTGCTTGTCCTCTCTAAAGGCAAGGCTCTTCTCCTCCAGCCCTTCAAACAGGCTCTTGTCTCCGAACCGGAACTTCTCCCTAAGTCCTTCCTCGGGCGCAAGCTGTGCGGGCGGAGGGTCCTTGGCCGGATCGTCATCAGGCCACAGGATCCGGCGAGCCTCCTCGTCAGTCAGGGGCGGCTCGTCGACGTCCTCGGTCAGGACGACGTGCGAGGCAGACTTGGGAGATAATGGTATCGTCGGAGCAGGTGACGCCTGCCGGGGCGTGGTGGCGAGGGAAGACTCGAGCGTTAGCGTGCCCGTGGGGTTGCCGTCATCAAAAGATGAAGGGGGTGAATCGGAGGGAGGAGCCGTATAGGGCGGCTCTCCCTGTCTGCCTCGAAGATGTCTCTCTTCGGGAGGGTATCCCGCCGTGCGAGAGCGTGCCTGCCTCAGTCGAGCCTCCCTCCATAGGGACTCTGATATCGACGGTGCGGGTGTGCCGTTAATGCTCTCCCCGTCATCAAACTCCAGGTCATCGTCGTCATCTGTTCGTATCGTCATCGCATCCAGCGCATCAGCCTGGCTATCTTCTCTCATCATCTCGTCTGATATCTCCTTTGGTACCTTCTCCTCAGCATTGCTGATGCTCTTTGGCACCACTGGCTTCAGTGGTAGAGCCCCTGCTCTGATCCGCCCGGCTCGTAGTATGTTCCGCATCAGGTACAACTCATGCGTCTTGTATGTTTCGTAGAATACGCGGTTCACCATGGCTGCAGAGTGGAGGTCATCCAGGTCATCAATATCACTCAGGATTTTCAGCCGCACGTTCTCCGGGAACTCATTTGCAACGGCGTGCGCAGCCTGGTCGGTGCCTGCCATCCGACTGAGACCCCATTTGTAAACCTCCTGCGGTTCTGCTTCCCGGTGTCTGGAGAGCGCCCACCCGTGACTCTTGCCGCTGACATCATGCAGCGTCAACCCGGAGACGCTATTGAATATGTCATTGATGGCCGCTCTAAAGGTGGTGCAAGGGTCGCAGACACCGCCCTGGTGAACCGGCGACACGGGGCTGGGCACCCGCCTCAGGCCCTCCATCATCTGCGCCAAGCTCCTTGGTGCCTGTTGATCTTGCTCGGTGAGGTGAGAGAGCGCATTCGGGCGTAAGATTTGGGGTAAGATGTTCATCTCATTGTACACCAGCATCAGCCAACCCAGGTTGGACGCATCGCACCAGTGGCTGCCCTTGGGGCACCGGGGTGTTGAGCTGAGGGTGGACAGCGGCTTCTTCTCCTGCGTCGTCTGATACTGGTTGTTGCGCAGATCAGAAGGGGTAATCGGATGCACATCATCGACCGGGTTTCGCGAGGGCTGCCTGATATACTCCTGTATGGTGCCGGTGCAGCAGGCGTACACCTGAGCAATCTTGGCGCTCCGGACCGCCCAGATCTTGTCCCTGATTCGCTGAGGCCACGGCTTACTCTGCAAATCAGCCTCGTCAACCAGGTTCAGTATCGCGCTCTTGGACATTCTGGTGAATATTTGCCGTAAGCCAAAAGCGTAGCTGATTATCAGCATGCCGTCGGGCATGTCATCCGCACCCCTGTGCATCCACTGAGGTAACCATCTGTGCTCGACAACCATCTCGAGCGGAGAAGTGCACTTGTACTTGACGCAGCACTCGGCGATGACAACAAACTGCTCAAAGCTAACGTCGCGAGGTACCTTGTCGTTATGCATGTGTGCGGCGTGCAGCAGAATCTCGAGGCTCGATAGCTGGTTGGTTTCCAGCTGAGGCATTCGATATAACCTCGCCTCAAAGCCATCCTTGCAGATGTATTTGGTACTTGGGGGCGGGAGATGAGGGTGAAGCTCATCATCATCGTATGTCGGGTAGTTGGTGGGATTACCAGAGAAGATGTAAGCGAAGATGGGCGACGTCTCAGCCAGCATGTGGGAAGACACCCGGAAGCGAAGCACAGGCTCACTGTCTACAGCCTCGGGGTGTAGATTGGCGAATTCGAGCACCGCATCACCCTTGGGCGATATCACGACTTCCTCGATCCTCCGCTCTGGCGAGATTCCCGACTCGCCAGATTGTAGAAGCCCACGGATTTCTACCAGTTCTTGTCTAACCTTTTCGTAATTGCGAAACCTTATCTCGTAACGGGGGAACTGGTCAACGGATTAGCTCTGAGACTGGAACATTGGTCCCCTTTGGATGAAAGTAAAACGTACAAACTGAGGGTCCTGTGACATCACCCTCGTTACGCTAGCATTGCGCATACGGTGGATGGCCTCCCTGCGAAACCTCTTGTTCGTGAACATGGCCTCCACCATGTCGGGCGTCGACTCGTGCTCGTGCTTGCGGTATGTCTCTTCTAGGCTCGTCCGCAGCGCATCCGCTAACGTGTCCAGGTATCCTTTCCACTCACGGACCGCATTGAGCCAGGCATCGTTGGCGTGGGCGTTGCGGCCCACACTGTTGCCGGACACAATCTCTGTGAGACTGCGCCCGCTGAAGGAGCTCCTCTGATCGTACAACGCAGCATTCGGAGACTCGAGCGAAGAGTCGCGGCGAGGTAGCGTGTCGTTGACGACGGATGACGGGTTCCGTGACCTGAACTCGTCCTGAACAATGGCGAGGCACAGAGCAGCAGCTCGTTCCTTGTGTTTGCTGTAGATCTCGTACGCACTGTCGACGTCTTTCGGGCCCGTCGGGGCGGTTCGCATACGCTGGACAATGTCTCGTAGCTGGCGGTAGTTGTCGGAGCCCTCGTGGACAAAGGACGAATGGCCGTCGGAGCTTCTCAAGCCCAGTGAATCGTGTGAGTCGATGTCGGATGCTCGCTGTGAAACAAACCCAAATCAGCCGTCTGTCCCGTCCTCCTTTGATAAAGCGAGGGAACCTACACTGCTACTCCAGCTCTTGTCCTCCTTCATCCGCATGCTCGGGATCTTCTTCAACATCGGCAGCCGCCATTTCTTAGAGGAACTGCCGGAAAAGCTGGCCGTAGCGGCGCTCTCGCTTGTCTGCCGCGACATCTCACGCATAGGCCTACGCCGTGACGGATAGCGCGGGGGCAGGCTGCGTGGGGAGGGGGTCGGGTTCTTTTCGCTGCTGGTGGCAAGGACCAACGATGGAGGGGTTACGAGACCATGAATCGAGGCAGGCGAACCAATAGCTCTCAATCGAGTATGAATGTCAGGTAGGTCCGAGTTTCTACTTGCCCGCCAGTCCTACAACTAAAGCCGGAGGTTCCGCTCTATGTGATGCATCGACTGCAGAGAGATGCTGTTGTGGCCGGCCTGTGGTCTAGAATGCATCAGAGCTAGCCAAAGTGTGCAGCACCATAACCACGGCAGGCTATCTATAGATGTATGGAAGGTACTCCGCTATGTCTCTATATCTTCGTCTCGATCAATGGTCTTGGGTACGGGCCTGGGTTCGATTCTAACCGGCGAGGCGAATCCCGAGGAAGGGTGAGGTCGAATCGTATGTCCTCGACTCACGTGCGCACCGTCGAAGAGCTGCAGCTCGGGGCAGGGAAAGCACAGCTTGTGCAGTCGCAGAAAAGAGTACGTGCTGGTGTCAGGCGTCTCGAGTCCCGTCGGCCCCGTTGGTCGTGGTGGTATGTGCTCGTAATGGTTCTCGTCGTCGTCGTCGTCGTCAGCCGGAGCAGCGGGCCTAGCAAGTCGAAATCCAGTGCGGTTTGCTCCGGGTCCTCGCGCCACCAAGGAGGTCCGGCAAAACTCCTTGTCGCCTCCAAATTCAAGCACGTAAATACGCGATGCAGAGTGCGTCGCACCGTCTCGTCAGCTCGGCAAACCAACCAGGCAGAACAAAAATATGGTTGGAAGGCATCAAGGTGGAAGCGGGAGCAGAACAGAAAAAGAATACGGGCTAATCGACGGTTGCAGATTGCGGTGCTGTTGGGCCGTTTGCTCCCCTCCCACTACAACGTTCGACGGCCTCTCGGGCGGCAATGTACCTGTGGCTGGGGGAATGTTGCGGCAATAGCAAAAATACTTGGCTCCCCCTAGCGTCTACGCACAGATTCAGGTACTCTGCACTACTGCGCTAAAAGCCGGTCTCGCCTGGCAGCTGTCACGGCTGCCTAGAAGTCTGGGGGCGGGCCAAGCCCCAGAAATTAAGGCCTGTTTTCTCCGTATGGTGAGCGTTCCCTCCTAAAAACCCCCCTTCTTGTGCCCCCAAATGTGGCCCAGGCCAATGGAAGCCTGCCCGCCTCTTCATCTCCCCCAGAAATCTGATTAGCCATGTGCGAAGCCCCCTAGTCACCCTGGAGTTGGAGTACACCTTGCGTTTCGCCTGGCCTGGCGCAAAACGCGACCTACGCCTTTCTCAACGATCTGCGAACCTAATGATCACTAGGTAGGCAGGTAGAAACTAAACCATCCTTAAATGTGTCTCGTATCTATATATATAGTGCTGCCTGGCGATCGAACCGTCAATTTAGTCTCTGTGAACTATTTTTATCTAGAAACCATCTGCAGCATTGGCCCTCATGTTCCGAACACTTTCCGATTTCGGCACGCACCACTTCCATCCAAGACACGCAAACAAATCAGCACCCATTGCTCGTAATGGCAATATCCGACTCGTAAAATCGCCAAAATCGCATTACCCAAGAAATCAACAAACCCACTTGCGAAGGGACTCTACCATGTGCCTTCTCTAAAATGAACATGATCAATGTGGTCGTATAGGGTAGGCTCAGCGACAAGTACCTTGAATTTATCCCGGCCTTAAGAATGTTGAATCATTTGAATTCATTATATTCTCTGTTATACCAAAATTACTACAATTGTGTATTTACTTTCATTTATTGACTCGCTATGTTACTTGGCCTGATTCTCTTAATGGCATCCATCCTGCTCTATACTGATTTGATTTCCTGGCCTCTGATCCTTGGGGATGGGCCAGGGGAAAACTTGAGAAAATACCATGAAACAAAAGGGACGCCCACTCCTAACAGATGTTCAATGCAAACGCCTTTCCAGTACCGGCCATGTATCGATTCCTGGTCTCTTCAAATTCTTACCAGCCTTTTATCTTGCCATCCTTGCATACATTCACGCAGCAGCCCCTTATTCCTGGCAAGACCTCTCACCAGCCGTGTCGGGGTAGCTTGGCGCTGCAAAATCGTACAGTTTCTTGACACCGTTCATCCTTTCCCGTTCTATCGATTCCCACAAGATTTCCAAGGGCGAGACTCAAGTTGCACGCCTCTAATTTTCGTCAACGTGTTGAAAAATTGCAGCTTTGTGTTGGTGTTCCATAGCCATTCTTTGTCACGACTTGCGTCTATCCAAGATAACACCAACCAAAGTCTCAAACTTCTGGTTTTTTTCTTCTGGATGCCTGTCCAATCATTGCAGCTGATGATCCTCCTGAAAATATTCGGGACTCTTAGCCGCCTTTCCGCTCTGAAGCTCGTTTGGGAGGTAATTCTGCATTGGCCGGTTGGGGCTCAGCTGCGGTCTTCTTCTTTCCTTTGCCGGCTCGTTGCCACCCGCCATCACTTTCGCTCCGGGCACCCCGGACGTGCCCATTCTGTCTGGGGCCGTTGGCCGAGCCGCCTTGTTTCTGATTTTTTGTTGGCTTGGAGGTTTCCTGTGATTCTTGTGTCTGATCACTTGCGCGCGAGGTCTGCTTTGCCATATTCGTCCACGAAGGCTTCTTGTTCTCAGCTTGCCCGTTGTTGCTCTTTTCATCTAGTCCAGGAAAATCCATTGCCGTCCTGGAGACGACAGGCGACGGTGTCTGGGCCTCATACACAGGTGACAGCAGGGATATTTCCGCGGCAGTTGCATGGTGATTCTGGTACACGTGATCGCTGGACACTGCCAGATCGAGCGGGGCGATTGCATTGTGCTGATTCTCGGCGATGAACTGTTGTCGCAGTAACGGATCGCCGTTGAGAAATGGCATGTCCTGTGCAATGGCCTGGGGATTCATGTACTGAGAGCTCATCATGGCGATTCGTTCTCGGAAAGAGGTATCATCGGCTGCTGGCTGATGGTGGGTGGTGCTATTCGACCCATTGACCACCACTGGCGGCCGACCGAGGGCAGGATGCGTTTGCGGTTGAGATGCTGGCAAATGGCCCAGGTTTTGGCTTTTGGGTGGTTGATAATTTGGCTGGACATTTTCGAGGCTTGTATCGCTGGCGCGTTCTGAGGCAGGCGATGCTGAGCTGGTTGGGCGTGGCCCAGCACTGACACTTGTACGAAGGTTTGATCCATTGACCACCAACGGCCGTGACGAGTTCCGCGGTTGGCCTCCCCCCGTGCCCTGAGAGAGCGGTGAAGAGTTGCCTTCCGAGGATAATCGACGGGCATGACCAGCATTTGCTCCGAGTGGCGATGGCGACCTGGACGTTCTTCTCATCCTCCTGTCAAGAATTGTCTGTGGGAGCTGATCAGTAGTCAGACGTCTTCTCCCTGGGCTTCGTGTAGGCGCTTGACTGGCAATATCCCCAAACGCGATACCGTTGTTTACCCCTGGAGACGGCATCCCTGCTTTCTGCTGTGCTGCGCCATCGAAGCCCTCGCCGGGTTGAGACGACAGAGACGATGAAGTCCTCGCGGCGGCATCAAATTCTTCCTCGGTCGGCGTAAAGGTGATGCCGTTGCTATTCCCCTGACTTGGGTTGGAAACGCTCGTTGTCGACTGGCTGGCTGGGATTGGTATCTGCCCAGTAGCGGTGGGTGGCATCGGAGGTTGTGACCGCGCCGGTTGGGATTGCGACCTAAGCGAACTACTTGAACCCGGTCCACCTTTCTCACTTGCGGCGGATCCTCGTTGCAAAGGCCGTCGATAGTCAGGGCCAACCCCATTGGTCGTCGCAGGCGAGGAGGGATAGGTCCCGTAGCCTGATGCGCCTGCATGAGCGAAGAAGGATGGGCCAAGAGTCATCCCGTACAGCGAGTATAGGTCTGGGCGCAGTGGGGCACTGATTGGCGGATTGTCGATTCCATCGGTCCTCGAACGGTCTGACTGTTGATTCTGAGTCGGATTCGTATTTGATCCCATGGGTTGTTGTTGGCCAAGATGTTGGTGCTGGCCAAAGGATGCGCTATACAATTGCAACTGCCGAATGCCCTCCTGTTGATACACCAGATGCGGGTTCATGAGGTCGTGATATTGGTACTGATATTGAGGATTTTGGTACCATGCCAAGTCTTGTTGCATCGTTACGCCTGGCGGAAACACGTTCGGGTCGTAGGTTGGGACGCTGGACGAGGCACGTCGATTTGAACCTCCATTATTGCCACTGCCGCCTCTGTAATTATGCCTGCCACCGCGGCCGCCGCGGCCACCTCTACCGCCTCCTGAGTGAGATTGTGATGCGCTGCGAAGCAAAACAGGACGAGATTGGGGGGGTGGCCTTGACCAAACTCTTTCCTCCTCTTTTGGAAATACGTATTGCTCGCATGCTTCTTCAAACTTGGCGGCCGATATCAGATCGAAAGCTCGGCGTAACTCGAGATGAAGCCCTCTGAAAGAGTATTCATCCGCCGTGTTGCCAAGATTACGAGAGGTATTGAACGGCTCTTCCACACACAGCTGATTGTTGATCGCGTAGTGCCACTTCTTGTCGGTCTTGGTAACTAGAGTACCTAGACGAACGGAGAGGACATACTTCTCGTAATCGAACTCGTGGGCGTAGAAGCGAAAAAATTGGAAAAGAAGATCAGCCTCGGATGACTTATTCGCCTTCCCGAAACCCTTCAATTTCTTCAAATTATCGGCAAAGTCGCTCTTTGCACCATCTGGTTTTTGGATCTTGTAGGGAAGTTGGTGAAGGGCCGGAAGAATCGAGGGTGTGCGGAGTTGGAGGAATGCAACTATCAAGCAAATCCATGTATAGGAGCTCAGAGTGCCACCGAAAGCTGGCTCTGCATGTCAGACAGGCGGG